AAAGTGTTGCTTGACGTATGATATTTATGCGATTCTGATAAACTAACTTATGTGTTTTTGTAGCCTATAATATTGCCAATATAGACACAGATACCAATGTGTCTCTACAAGTTATCCAGTTTACTAATTTTAGTACGAAATTGGATTATCGATGTTTCTAAATTCATCCCCCGCGAGCGAAGCCGCGGGTAAAAAGCTAGTTTAATATACTTTCCAGTATCTAATAACTTAGATTTGTTATCGTGGCGTAAAGATTAACCAATCTGTGGTAAAGAAATTAGAAAATTACCTACGGTACGACCGGTATAAATAGTGGCTTAGATCTATAGACCGTATTTTGACTTTGCTCAGACTTTACTTACGAAAAAAGTAGCTTCTGCCGTAAACCCTAGAGTAACTAATAAATATATAATATACAAAATAATATTTTACATAATATATAGATTAGTCAGTAGTACAATACATTATTGTAGGTATAAGGAATACCTTTACTTTTTCGTATAGGTATTGTAAATAACATGCATTGCCGCTTGGGTATCGCAGACGACGGTGCGACATACCAAGAGATAAACCTAGAGATCTCATCGCTTCTGATTGATACCTGATATATACTGATACCTACCCCTAAAGCTATATCATCATATTCTTGATTTTACATTCCCCAACCGGGCGGTGAGCAGCTTCAATGGTTCGAAACATCTAGAACTGCGAGAGTTAATCTGGGATAATCTTATTCCAGTTCCAGGTGTGAACTTTTATGAACTAATAACTAAGAAATAACTTTGAAGGCACAAATCTTTTCAATCAAAAGACTGACGGACATTTTTATAATTAACGAAGCTGTGCAATATTTTAGGAACATCTGGCAGATCTTTCTAACCTCCGCTGCATTTGCCTTGTAACAAATACTATTAAAGAATCGTGACAGGCCACGTCAGCTCATAAAAAATAATACGTCCAAGCTTGGCTTGTAAAACGAGTATGTCTGTTTTATTCTCAGTACGGTCTGCCAAATGCAGTGTTGCCGATTACAAAAGACGAAAATAGCCGAAAACCATCTTAGAAGTTTCCGCCATTAAATAAGGAATTCTGTAGAATTGCCAAATTAAATGAAAAAAGTTATTCACAACATATATTTTTATATTTTCATTTTTCTTATAATTAATTTAGGAATCAGCTACTAAGTCAAATTATCTAATAAACATCAGCGGTTACGGGCTATCGAGCAATCTCCCTTTGTAACATAGCCCCATATTATTCTCATTTTCGTCTAAAAATAATGTACTTTTTTTGGCTATATTGTTTACCAGTCTGCAAAGCAACGACGGTGCTACGTTCGTTTTCCTTAGGAAGGACGATTTGCTGTAATCTCAATGTTTGGCAAGTGATTAAAACACGAGTACATAGAAAATATTGTTTACGCCTTGTTTAGTCCATAAATGATCTCTCCATGAATAAAGCTAGAACTTAAAGGTAAATTACACTATAATAAGACGTTTTATAACTTACCTAAATAAATATTACTATGCAAATATCATAAAAAAATTAAGAATTTAAGCTGTTTACAACTTTATTATTCTGACAACATGTCGGTTACACACTGGCCAAATATCTGATACGAGTATAGAATACTTGTAACTATATACGATAATGAGATTATGAGTGCTCGTTGCAGAGTTGCGCAATCGGCCCACATACATTGATTGTTCTGCCTAATGCATTGATGACGCATCCCAATTTGTATTCGATTAATCGTTTATATTTCATTGTATGTATCAACTACCGGATGAACTTGTTGTTAGTTAATTGTGTAAAGTTAAATATTATATTTAAAAATATGAACCTTTAAAATTAGTCGATTTAATAGATTTTTGAAATTATAGAGATAAAGCTTAAATAAATGAAATATTTTGTAGTTGTATTGTATGTGTAATGTATTAGGTGTATAGGCAAATCGTTGATGCTAAACACCTCTGATCATCTAAATTCTAAACACAATATTTAATACACTATTAATATCATTGCCTTCCTATATAACAAATAATATTTAAATTGTCTAGTTTTAGCTTGACATTGACATACATAATGTTACATTACAGACGTGGCACGATTGGATGGCGCTACGTCTAAACTTGTGATATTGAAAAGAAAATTTAAAAATTTCAATTTTTAAATTTTATCGCAGACGGGTATAAAGAAAACCTTTAGAAAAAACGACTTCAAAAACTAAAAAGAATAAGATAATATTTCCATATAATAATAAGCCAGTGTTAAGACAGTATATTCTATCATAGAATATCGAATAATTAAAGGTTTTTATTTATTTTTTAAGTTTATTTTTTACCCTTTTGAGTAGATTAAGAAATTTCACAAGTTCAAGGTTACAACGAAAATCTCGTCTAATTAAAACTTGATCTACTTTTCTCCATCCTTAACCTACTTAATAAAAAAAAATCATCTGTGTAGCCGTTTCCATGAAATCGGTGAACAAACATAAAAAAGATATGTATCGAATATAGAACTTTTCTGTTCTTTGAACTCGGTTAAAAAAACTCAAAAGCTAATATAAAAAATTGAAAATCTCTTATTATAGGTAAAGACTAAAGACTATTCAACCTTTAAAAAACGTTGTATCGATGAAAAGTGTATGAAGAGTGCTTTATTAAGTAAGCACTTAATAAAGTATAGTATACTTCACCCACTATTGTGTACAGCTTACAGCTCATTCTGCTTAGTTAGCCTGTTCAGAACTGCCATGCATTGTGATTTTGTTCAGCTATGTTCAATTTACTTGGTTCAGCTAACAATGTAGGTATTTTATTGATTTAAGTTATTTTAATGATATTCCTCGTTTAAAATTAATGCTTTTGACCTGAATATTTTTGATTTGTTTACAAGATAGTAGACGCGGAAACGGAAATGTCTATTCTTGTTAAACCATATTTTTTGTAGATAAGTAATTGGTTTCGTTAAAACTTGTAAAAGATTTAATGTTTATAACTAACCTACAGCACAGATTAAATAATGTTACGGCAACCGAATAGTATAAATAGTATAGGCAACCGAATATATAATAGTATAAAATGGGAAATTGATAGCGTGAGTAGACCAAATCACACTCATTCCTCTTTAATTCTTGAAAATTTAATCCTTTTGGCTGTTTTATGTTCGCTTATAAACCAAAATCTTATTAAAAAAGTAAATAAACATGTAATAAAAATAATAATTGATTGTTTAATAACAGTGTAATTATAAACTCAAATGAAATCCCTTTTAAACATTGAAGTTTTGCTGTTGTTACTATGGAGGCACGCGCCGGGTCAATGACCGCCCTTGCAGGCGCAGGGCCACTGCCGGGCTATCCTTTGTTTCATGATGTCTCGAGCATACTGGCGATTTAAGCAACTATCGTTTATAAGTGAAACTCAATAAAACAGGCTTGGCTGGCGATTTCAGTTGTGCGATCATTGACCTCAACACCTTAGATTGATATTGGTCTGTGGAGTGGAGTCCGCTCCCTTCCACTATCTGACATCTATACGTTCGGCCAGCCTCCACCCTCTCGTTGTTGACTTCACGACTGACTCTACGCATTCAAACCAAACGATTTGCTTCATCGTTCGTCACGCGTACGGTAAAGCAGTGGAATAAGTTTTCAACATCTATCTTTCCATCCTATTACAATGTCCGTGTCTTCAAGGCAAGAGTGTATAGGCATTTGTTAAGTCTGTGCGTTTTCACCATCATAGGTTTCACCACTTCATCAGGTGAGAATGCAGTTAAGCGCTAGCTTAGAATAGTAAAAAAAAAGAGAAAATAGCTTAATGCAAAGAAAAATAATAATTATCTAGTTTTAGTTTGGGTTACCATTTAAAGTAATCACGCTAGATGTGTAAAATATATGTATTATGAGCCGTGGTAGCTCAGATGGTTAACGCTCGCCGTAAATATAACAGAACGCGAGTAACCCGGGTTCGATCCCCGCCGGCACCAATGAAATTGTTAATTGCAATTTTAAGTGCTGATTTACCACGTGCTCGGCGGTGAAGGAAAACATCGTGAGGAAACCTGCATGTCAGAGAAATAAGAAAAAAAATATTTCAAAGACATGTGAAGTTCGCCAACACGCATTGTGGCAGCGCGGCGGACACTTCCTTGCCCTAAAACCCTCTCAGAAATGAGGCGAGGCCTGTGCCCAGCAGTAGGACGTATATAGGCTGAAACTACCAGAAAGTGGAATAAGCAAGCAGCTATATTGCAAAAAAATACATGTATATTTTTAAATTTTTCATCTGGATTAACATATAATTTATTTTTATTAAAATGAAATATATTTGTGCTTACTTATTACACTGGAACGATGTTTTACGAAGGAATGATAGCATCTTATATATGATTACCAGTTTCAGACATTTAGCCGCGAATTAGCAATTCATGAAAAAAGCGAATTCACAATAAGTGCCTTACTACCCAAGGCTCCCAAGGGATTCTCAAATGATAAAATTAATCATAATAGTTTCGCTATCGGCGGTGCGTTCAGCCGGCGAGTCGCCAACAGAGTTGTGCAAGGTCGCGATACGTCTTTATTATTATTGCACAAGCCGGGACGAATCTGGATACGCCATAGTATGGACGCGCGTTCGTGCGTCATAGTGTGTAATTTTAACTCGCGGAAGGACACCGAGTTATACGTGTTTTCGCCGTCCGAATCACGCTCGCGCTTATTCCGCTACTTTTCGTTAGAGATAGAGATTGTACAGGTCCAGATTTTGATTGTTGTTACGTCAGTAGACCATTTATCGCGGTCAAACACTCGTAATAATGATTAAAACATCGTCTTTATTATCGGTGAAAAAACGTTTACGTACTGTAGTCTTAGTGCAAATAGGATTGTATCATAAATCGACTTAAAGTGCAATTGCTTTAATATTTGTCGTCGTTGCATCCAGATCTTGTTGACGAATATTCTGAAAGTGAAATTCCGAAACTGTTTGTTATAGTACCTGATAAAGTTCAACGAAATAAAGACGAAGAAAGGGATCGAGCTACTCCAGCACCTAGTGGAGTACTATCACGCACAAACAAATTATTTCCAAGATGGCTTGAAGACGATCGAGCATTTTGGTGTATACGTTGCGGACTTGAGCGTGCAGTTGCAGAAGATCAGACAGCAGCAGGACGACGAGCGGCGGAGGTTGCTCGAGCTTAGAAACATGCTGAGAGCAGCCGCGCCGCAAGACAGAGAGGTCAGTGTTATTCCTTGAAATTTTGTAACCGGTGTGATGTAGCGTTTAGGGGTATGCGAAAGAACCACATTCATGAGAAAAATGAGGACTAAGATTAATTTTAAGCTGATACGGCAATAGTTTGTAATAGAAACGATTTATATGTAACGAAGAATGAAAAGTTCCTTAAATATAAAAACCTGGCAGTGACCGAAGTATACCTTCTATTCTTCGAATAGTAGCGAACATTATAATTTTTTGTAAATCACAACCTAGTGCTCGACAACGATCCTACCTGACGGAAAGTGGTAGTTAGTAAAACGCATATTTATTCCCTATAAAATGTCAACATTGTAATTAGACAGAGACTGTGCAGAAAAAATAAATTACTGATTTTCGAGTTTGGATTTTGTGATTGTTATTTGTATCTCTGCATACAAACTCACTTCAGCGGGGTTAGCTAAGTTGATATTTTTCAAAATAGAAAACTATAAAATTAATTAAAGTTACCGATTGTAGAATGTCGAATTATCTAACCCCGCTGTTCTTATAAGAATAACTTCGGAACCGAACTCAGGTAAGTTAGAATGAGTAAGCGCCTCTCAGCTTGCACGTGCATTTGTAGCACGCCCACAGCAGCCCAGCGCAGTTAAAAACCGACATAAAAGTTACTCAGTGGTGGACATCGGTGAGGAGAAAATTATCCTTTTAGAATTTGGATTTTTATGAAACAAAACATTGGTATAGTAAAAAATCGCATAATAAAAAGTGACGAAAGGGTAAATAAAAATTTTCATTGAACTTCTTCGTGGTATTCGTATTGCAAAACTTTATAAAAGCATCATTAGTGTTCCCTCTTTATATTGGTTTGCTTTTCGTTACGTATTCGTGCTGTATAAAATAATAAACCTAGATTCATGCGAGCTGGTAGCGTGAGCTTGACAAGTCGATAACAAAATCAACGCACTGCATTCGATCCGAATACGATTCGAATTCTGAGTAAACACAATTTAAAGAATTCGAACCGAATCCGTAAGTCGACTGTGCACTGCTTCTGATCGAATCCGATCCGACCGAATAACGATTGTCGCTCGTTTACTTGAGATTGGAAAGATTTTGCCATTTAAAGCTAAGAAGTAAGCTTTAATCGTCGTCAACTTTCGGAACTGTTATTATACATACAAAGACGCAGTAGAATTAAAGAGTTCTGAATATACAACCACCACAACTACCACCACCACCACCAACACCACTGCCCGCGTGATGGCTCAGATTCGATTTGCAAGAATTTGGTAATAGTTGAAAATCACACATTTGCACATCTTTAGGATGCAGGTTTTATCTACGCGTATACGTACGTATAGTACTGCCTCCACGACACACGTAATGGTAACTTTTTAAAGACCAATATATTTCTACATTTCTTGTTAATAATGTAGAAATATATTTGTCTCAAAATTTCTACATTTAGTTCAAAATGGGAGCTTTGCAAATGGAGCAAAGTGCGTCTTTGTTAGTGCCTGCAAAGCATGGTGATATTGGAAAACCCCCTTGCGCGCGAGGCTTACGTCCAAAGTGGACAGTTTAGAACAATATGTTTTAATTTAATGTCTAGCTAGCTTACAAAAGAGTCCTATTAAAATATTAACTTAAATAAATATTTTCCTTGTTGATTAAAACTGTCGTTGGCACTTGTTCGATTCCAATAGTATCGATCAGTCATTTATTCCATCGGATACGGGTAGATAATCCGTTATGTCAGCTTGTTTGTACGGGTGCTTGAAATGTTAAATAGTTTGCATGTTTATTACCACCTTTGAATCATAAAAAGATTACGCTTTAAGAAAATTTGGATAATATTATGTCGTTTGACTTTATGAAATTATTTAGTTGCGAGGGTAATACTTTCAAATTATGAAAAAGCGTTAATTACTTCTGAGTTAAGTAGGTTTATTGTATATTGTTACATCTATTTAAGGTCGAATTTTAAATTCGCACGATTACCGCATGCGGATGGAACGTGTTTTTAACATGTTTTTCGCAAGCAAAAATAGCAATTACGTATCGATCTATTTTAATTTCTATAATATGTAGGGTTGCCAACCTTCTTGTATTAAATAATATAGTAAGGTAGAGGTTATTTAAGCTTAAAATAAGTATGTATTGTATAAATTTAATTACCGCTTTAAATTGAAATGTTTAGCGACAAACTTTAAATGTATCTGTTAATGTATGTACTCGATATAATAATAGATCAATAAATTCACTATACTATTACGAAAATTTGACTTGCTTTTACAATACTGCGGAAAAGATTGTCATTATTTAAATAAACATCTTTAAAATGTATATTAAATATTTTTATATAGAATAGGCGTGGCAAACGAGCACACAGTCCACCTGATGGTAAGTGGATGCTGTGGCCCATAGACATCTACATTTATCCTCGATTAAGAATCAAAATGCAGATAAGGTGTCACCCCTGTGGACTAAGATGGAATGCCTCGTTTCCAGTAAAAAGGAGCCTGCGAATCTCTACATTCAGCATACGAAACACACCAGTATTAAGCTGCGATTTTACGCTGGTATTCAATTCTTAATTCAAATAAAGGGTAGTCTTATTACCGTGTAGTGGCGGTGAAAGGATATCCACTAGCGCACACCATCCCGTGGAAGTCCTAAGAGTCGAAAGAGGGGAACAAATCAGTCGACGGGCAGCAGCGTCATCATCACCTAACTAAAAATTTAAATTGCCAATCGTAACAACTATGACAAATATCTCTCTCCCTCTATAAGGCAATATAACGGGGAGGACTCTGCTGACCAGTAGACTTTAATAGGCTGTAACGAAACGTTACTCTTATATCAACCATCACCTTCATAATAATCATCAATTCGTACATAATTGTAAATTAAAACTGCTTTGCGTAATTTTATGAGGTAAAGCTATTCCTCTATATCGCCGGTCTTGATGTTTGCGGTGTCACATATTTACACATACGTATTGTATTTTCTTTTCTTAAGATTGCTTATCACACGGATTTTTTGAACCAAGTACACTAGCTATATAGTAAAGTAATACACTAGCTACATCGTAAAGTAAATGAAAACCTTCAAGTGGATAACCAGTAATCGAAAACGGGACTGGTGACTATTAACGGTATGTAAAAAGTTATTGTAAAAGATATATATTATATATTATATTATGTATATATGTATATATATATGTATATACGTAGTGTGTGTAAGTTATATAATATATAGGTTATTATATATATAGTGTAATGTACATTTTGATTGAATAGATCAACATCTTTATGCCCATAACTCACTCTCTGTTCTACCCAAGGTTAGCTGGTAGAGAATCCCTTAACTTTGGTGCAATAAAGAATAAAATAAATAAATAAATAAATAATATTAAACTCAGGTTGCATCATCAGTCGGCGGTTACTCCCTGCACCAGTTACAAGGGGACAAGCAGCACGGAGTAACTCGAAGTGGCTACCTATTGAAGAAGTCCGAAGGCAAGGTTCGTCGCGTGTGGCAGAAGCGCCGATGTCGAGTGGCGGCTGAAGGCTACCTAGATATTTTTCACGCTGACGAAAACAAACCACCAGCCAGGGTCAACTTGCTGACTTGTCAGATTAAAGTAGCGTCAGAAGACAAGAGGGCGTTTGATCTAGTCTCTTGTGAGTATAACATATTTGCTACCTACTTTACTTTTTTTTAATTTATCAAAAAATATGTTTTATTTTAAAATAATAGTTATCATTCAACATAAAGTAAACATTCAACGATTGTTATTCACGTAATGTACAATGAAGAATCAATGAATGTATTACAAATTAATGAGATTAACACAAACACTAAAGCGTTGGTTCAAGTTATGTATGCGAGTAATAAATTTACATCATTTTAGGGTAATGTTATAGTGTAATTGTCCAAAATTTTTTATTTAGGAGAGAGGGGTAATTACGAACACTTCAGGGGAAACCGAAATTGAACAAAACCACATTAAATTACCAATGTCATTTATAACATAAAGTTACTTTAACTAATCAACCTTAAGTTCTGATAAGCAACATAGATAAATTTTCAATATAAAATCAAATATTAATAAGAAAACAAAACTATGGGGTTCGGGATTACCCCACAGCACGTGGGGTAATTACGAATGGTGTGTGGGGTGGGCTAGTCACGGAAATAGTCAAATCTTCACATAAATCACAGATAAATCCTTTTGATGTACTTTCACCACTCGTATACTTTTCATGGGCCCATAAATTACATTTGTAGCATTTTATTCAATCGTCATGTGGAGGATCTTCATATTTTTCATCACAAACCTCAAAAATATTCATTTACTTTCACATCTCCTTCTTTGGCTACCACTTGTTGCCATTCCGACTTTATTTTGGCCTTTTGGTGCAAAAATTTTACAATTTCTTTGAACATTAGATTTGTCTGTCTGGTCAACATTGTAAATATGATAAGGATCAAAGTGGTGTTTTGCTTGCAAAGCTTCCAAATTGTCGGATAAGATTTTCACTTCTGTTTCATTAAAAGCTGTAATTATATTCATAGACGTGGACTCCGGTTTACGTATCAAAACATTAGGATGTCTTTTATTTTCTTAAATCCGCAGGACCAATCCTTTCCTGCCATTTATTTACGGGATGTTTTGTCAAAATTGTGCTTCAAATGGTTTACTTCGGCAAATGTAAAAGCTATTTTCCGGACCATTTCTATGGTCAAACCATAAAATAGCTTACTGCGTTTTATGATATGTTCTTCTAGTTCTTTTTCCTGTTCTTCTGAAAATACAGCCTTCCTTCCAGTTTTTAATTCTTTTATAACTTCTTTCTTGAGATAGTCGTCGTATATAGTACTTTTTGGAACAGAATAAGTAGCTACTGCATTTACTAGTGAAAGTTTTTTGTTTTCGAGCAAGTAGACGAGTTTGTATATTTGGGCTGCGTATTTAGCAGGGAGATATGATAAGGATATAGAACGACGAGTGAATGCGGGAAATAGAGTAAATGGGGCCCTACACTATATTGTGAAGAGTCAAAATGTGTCGAAAAAGGCACGCATGGCAATTCACAATGCTGTGTTGGTCCCTACTTTAATGTATGGTAGTGAAAGTTGGGTGTGGCAGAAGAAGCACGAGAGTAGAATGAACGCAGTAGAAATGCGGTCGTTAAGGAGTATGTTAGGGCTGAATCGGAATGACAGGGTAAGAAATTTTGTAATAAGAGAAGAGTGTGGTTTGCAAGATGATGTTTTGACCAGGATTAAGAAAGGAATGCTTCGTGGTTTGGTCATGTGGAAAGAATGGATGAGGAAAGACTGACAAAGAAAATTTATGATGCAGAAGTGAATGGCAGAGTCGGAAAGGGACGTCCTAGGCGAAAATTTATCGACCAAATTGGCGATTTATTAAAAACGGGCTAAATTAGGAGTACCCTTAACCGACGAGCATGTATGCGTAGGTGTATGGGATGTGAAGGAGGCGAGAGAGGTGTGTCAGGATCGTGCTAAATGGAAGTCTGTAGTCTCTGCCTACCCCTCTGGGTGACAGGCGTGAGTGTTTATGTATATGTATGTATGTAGTTTTTTGTTCTTGACAACCCGAATGGCTCTTTCTAAGTCTTTTAATTTGTATTTGGTCTCCGTCTTTCTTTGATAATTTCGTGTCACCTGAAACCTATTTGAGTAGGTATGAATAAGTTCGTGAAGGTACAGGGCTGAAAGCAGAGAAACATACGAATAAACTTCCACAAATGTAATTTCATCTAAATTCATCATCATTGTCATGAGCCCAACGCAGTCGACTACTGGACATAAATAATTTGATTGTTTAGGGGTAATTACGAACGGTCGGGATTACCCCACTGTAATCGTCCGTCATTACCCAACAGACACAGTAACACAAAACTATTTTTTTTTTAGGTTTGAATCGCATGATGCACGCGGTTGCAAGACGTTAATTCATAAAAAAAGATACCGAATTTCTATTAGTTACAATCGCATTTCTCTTCAATTTACTCCAAAATTATATGAAATTGTTGAAAAAATAAAAAGTTAACATACCTTGTACACCGAGTGCGTTGTTGCTTCACCAGTTCACCACTCTATGTTCGGCATTACGTTCGGGATCGACTCAGATTGCATCACTGGGAATATCTTCTATTCTTTTCTAACATAGACAAACGAACGTATGTGCGATTATCTCGCGTCAGTGATTCCCCCACTCTCCCCTATATACAAATATATTAAGATACAGAACAACCCCATTACCTTACTTAACGCAAACGTATAATCACATAATGTTGAGAAAATAAAATTCAAAACTTCTTTGTATAAATGCAAAGTTATTTTTAATTTATTATAAGCCATAGATTCACTACAATCCCACATGTAGTCCCACTGGGATCCCACGAAGTAAGGGTGACAAACTAGCACACCGTACACTTGATACTTTTATTAAATATAACATGAGATTAAGGTTATGTCCAGCCATGGGACTTATTTTTTTTATAGGATAGGGTGACAAACGAGCACACAGTCAACTGATGATAAGTGGTTGCTGCGGCCCATAGACATCTACATCTATCCTCGATTACGAATCAAAATGCAGATGCGATGTCACCCGTGAGGACTAAGATAGAATGCCTCGTTTCCAGTAAAAAGGGTCTCCGGTTCTCTACACTCACCATACGAAATACAGCAGCATTAAGCTACTATTTCACGCTGGTATTCTGTGAGAGCGTGGTCCTTCCCCGGTCGGGCCGACCCATTCGTGCTACAACTATACTACTAATATAACTGCAGCATGGCTCTACCACGTATAAATTATATAGATAAACTGTTTGCCTTGGCTTTCTACTTTTGTTCTGCACCGAATATACACCAACTTCTTATATTTTTACGTAAAAGGTAGGTTTTTGATATGGGTAGGAGTGTGGTATATATGTGCCTATTATATGTGCCTTGTCTATTCTAAAACTGTACTTTTATTAGTTTTTTTTGCAAATAGGTAATTTTTCCGTGTCATCAAGCCATGATGGCTTTGGGACGAAAGGCTCGCGTAAACTCATAATATAAATACCAGCAACTACTAAAGTTTACTGTTGTCGTAAAATTCTTTTAATACCTACATGAATTAGATAATATTGAACAAGTACAAGTATTATAAAATACATAGCAGCTTGGCGGACTTTATTTGCATCATTGTCATTCATTCGAGAGGTTAGACGTAAGATCACAATTAAATTACGTTCATACTTATTTTTAATATCGTGAGTTGTAAAATGCAAATATATGATAAGTGCAAGATAAGACAAATTACGTACCATATAATTAAGTATCATATTTTGCGTTTTTCAAGGCATTGTATTAATAGCAATGTGTCAGAGGCACCTGGAGCATAGTAAAAACAGAATAGTGGGATATCTTCCACGCCGCTACTGCAGGGTTGTCACTGTCTTTTTGTTTAACAGCTAAGTCTCATTTAGTTTTATAAGTAGTAATAATATTTACAAACCTAATACATACGGAAGCATATCTATACGTCATATTTGTTTATCCTTTCTTTAGTTTCCTCTCAAAGATACAATATTGTGTTTTTACTATGCCTACAAAAAGAGAGCCTACTATTCTATTTTTACTATGTCTGGAGGCAACAAATAATGCATAAACTCAAATTGTATGGCCTTGTTCGATTGTATTCAGATTGTCACGTACTATCTGTGACATTGCATCTTGGCTTACGTCTGATGTCTACAATGGATAGTACGAGTAGATCAGGTAGACTGAGAGCCTCAGTGTTAATGAGAGTGCAAGTGATGTAATATTAAGTATGCAAGAAGTCTTACTTTTCAATATATTAAGTAGATAATAATAATATCGAGATTAGTCAAATTCAAATAAAAATAAAATGTCAAATTTTTTATATCTATATTATTTGATATATCTATATTATGACTGCCTAGTTGGTCGATTGGCAGTAAACACTACTACAAATCATCAGTTCTCAATTTCAAACACAGGTCGGGCCAAAATCAGTTATGGGGTTTTTCTGTCAAGAAATTCTCAGTTATGAAATTGGCGGTGTTTCGCCCCCGTGCCTCGGAAAGCACGTAAAGTCGTTGGTCCTGGGGCTGATCTTTCTCTGGTCGTTTCGAATTACCGTCCAACCGGATTATGAGAGTGAGGGATAGAGAGTGCACCTGTGCTTGCGCATACACTTGAGCAATATAACCCTGCAGTGTACATTAAATCTGGCCGTCGTTACCGAAATTTGGTCTGGAGGACATTATTATTATTTGATATATCATTTTCTGAAATTAATGAATCCCAATAGATGGAGTGACGACCTGGTAAGACGTGCAGGAAGTCGGATGCAGGTGGATTAGAAGCGTGCTTTGTGGCATTTCTCAAGGAAGGCCTATGTTCAGCAGTGGGCTTGTAAAAGGCTACTAAAAGTCGACTAATAGCGGCATATCCATTCGTATCTTTTGCCTTCATTAAATTGTGTTAAACAGTCCAGCTGTTGTTACCCGATCATTACGGTTACAGACAACCGTACGTACCATTTCCAAGCGGAGGACGAGGGCGAGCAGCGCGCGTGGACGTCGGTGCTGGTGAACTGCAAGGAGGGGGCGCTGCTGCGCGCCTTCAACCAGCAGGCGGGCGATGGCGAGGGCGAGGGGGAGGGCGCCGGCGCCGGGCACTCGCTGCTCGACCTGCAGCGCGCCATCATCCGCGCCGTGCGTGCGCTGCCCGGCAACCACGTCTGCGCAGACTGCGGCTCCGCGAACGGTGCATACGCGTTTACTTATTCATTTTATTTTCTTTAATTGAAACAACATATACATTTATTATGTACCCATAAACTATAATACACATTCAATCACAGCTATCCACATACTTCAAACACAAAAAAATCACAAAAACTTTTTTCTTCGGAAATGGAATCATACTGTTATAACTTATAATTTGCCAGTGTCAAGTATATTAAAAAATTATTCATTATTACAATTTCCTTATAAACTTTACAATTAGTTTATGAGTCGCATTGTGAATTTTTGTGAGATTTTGTCATTTAATACATAAAATTGCACTCCTTTATATATCAAAATCTACTTCAAACAATTATTTAAACAAATAATTAAATAATACAGGAGCATCAATCCGCCCGCGGTCAAGGTCCCGGCAAAACTCCTTTTATTTTCCCTTATAATCTCTCGCTTACCAGATGTCACTATTTGGAATAGAGGTGAACATTTTTGATACACAATACCATTAAAATCAGAAGCAAGTTTTTTTATAAGATTTCATTAGTCTCTTAGAGTATTAGCCTAATATTAAATATAGAGAATATTAGAGTAATTGTCAAAAATACGTCGCAAACCCCAATTTACTTTAAGGTGAAGTGGGCGTCAAAAGGAGATTTTTCACGCTTTATAGGTGCACAGAAAATCAATTTTTTGTCATTAAAAACTACGAATTAACATTGTTTTTAAATTCATTATGAAGGTTAAAGATTTTTCGTACTGAAGGGGAAATATAACCTCAAATGGCTTAGCAAGATCCTCCGTTATGTCGAAAATATTGCAGCATTAATTTTGAAATAAATATATGGTAAAGTTAAGGATTAAAGTTAAGTACTATGTTAGACGAAAACATAATTCCGTAATATTTTCTCGATAGAAAAAAAATCCAAAGTTACCTCCAAACTGAACAATAAACCGCTGTTATTCATAAAATACTTTAAAAATAAGATCATGACACTTTGCATACTAACTGAACTAACTATAAAGCAGGGCTTATGTTTTTTTATATTTTTATTACCATTATTTTCACTGTAAAAAGAAATTACCTAAACTATCGAAGTCCTGAAGCTTGTTTTCTGCCGCCCGGTTCCAAGCTTCAGGACGCCGATAGTTTAGGTAATTTCTTTTTACAGTGAAAATAATAGTAATTTAAAAAAAAACATAAGCCCTGCTTTGTAGTTAGTTCAGTTAGTATGCAAAGTTTCATGATCTTATTTAAAGTATTTTATGAATAACAGCGGTTTATTGTTCAGTTTGGAGGTAACTTTGGATTTTTTTTCTATCGAGAAAATTTTACGGAATCATATTTTCGTCTAACATATTACTTAACATTATTTCTCAATTTTACCATATATTTATTTCAAAATGACTGCTGCAATATTTACGGCATAACGGAGGATCTTGCTAAGACATTTGAAGTTATATTTACCCTGAATTATGGTGGCCAAAACACGATTGTCACATTTTGGCTCGATAGAAAAAGATCGCAAAGTTTCCTCAAAATCTACGATTTTAGGTACGTCCACTAAGTGATAAAGCAGTTTTATTCGAATGTAATGAAATCAATTTCAATTAAATTCAGGCTACGTCTTCACCAGTAAATACGTGAGTGAATTATGGGTTTATTTTTCAATAAAAGAGTATATATCGTTTTAAAAAGAAATATCAAATAAATATTGTGCGATTAAATAGCGCGCGGGCCGACCAAATAATCCAGTCCGCAACGCGTCGCAGAGAGCACCCGTGTACAACTACTATGGTGACTACTAGGTACTTACCTCGGTAGGTATGTAGTTTATTTTTATGTTGAAACGTATACGTCGACTCGTATGTAAGCATCTATAGGCATAGGTACAACTCGTATCATGTTGTACCTGTCTATAATGTAATATAGGTATCGCCACAAGAGAAGGCTCTTTTGGTGCACCCAATAATTCCCTCCCTAATCGTAGCGATTGGCAGGCGCTTACGGTATCGCAAGACGATCGCAGTAATAGACGTCTAGCGTCATTGAACGCTACTTCCCTTGCATCTAATTTAGGTATTTAACATTTAGCTGGTGTTTAAAAAACATCATATTCGAACTTTGCAGTGTGTCAATCATAAATGGTTACGTGTGGTGGCCAAAGCACTCTTATAGGAAGGAAGTCGCCTTCCTCTTCCGAGATATATATAACATAATTTGAAGTTCCAATTTCGACCTACAGAATTATAAACACATTTTTTTAAGAACTTATTATTGTTATGAAAAATCTATTTTTAATACGTTACGTGACAATAAGAAGTTCATCGTTGTCTGTGACTTTTAACTGATGGGTTTAGACACCTTCCAAATAGCAACAATTTGCCTTTATTAACAAACTGATTAGCTATCAAAGAATAAGCTCTTGGGGTAGATTAAGTTACATGCTTTTCAACACGTCAGAGAACTTTAAAGATTTGTATAATAGTGTTTCCTTAGAGGGGATTTTTACTAAATCCACAAGGTAGCCGTACTAAGATTTGAACATTTCACTGAAGCGATGCGCGCTTATCTATTACGATCGCTGTAATCACCACGCTTGAATATCTTATTCCTGAGAGTGTGAGATTGACGATTTTATCACATATATTGTCTGTCGATAAATAATAATACTATTACTATTAATAAGTTTTGATTTACTTTCAGATCCTACTTGGCTTTCAACAAACTTCGGTATTATAGTGTGCATAGAATGTTCTGGGAGCCATCGAGAGTTGGGTGTACATATATCACGAATCCAGTCACTCACGCTTGATAAGTTGAGCACGTCTCAACTGCTGCTGGCGCGGCATATGGGAAATCAGCTCTTCAATGAAGTCATGGAAAACACATTGGATGAACGAGATAAACTCACCCCTGAGAGTACGATGTAAGATCACTTTTTGTTTATATTGTTATAACAAATAAGGCAAACTTCTGTTACATGGGGTTCTGTGGGAGAATCACACTGGTTCAAAGATTTGGGACTAGTATTGTTTTTAACGATGTCTTTTGGCTTGTATATTGATGAACTAAGATTCTGCCACAATAAAGGATAAAAATTATGCTATTCGTTTTTTTTAAAGTAAAACAATAGTGTTAATAATCTTCTTTTTCTTCTTTTTAAGTTTGTAACATGCCACTGCTGAAAACAAGTCTCTCCCATTGTAGAGAGTACACTATGCTTGGTATTGTGATCATAGTATATCTTTCATTTTTTAGAATATTCCAATAGAAGATTCCAAGCAGGAAAAGCAACATTTTTTTTGTTGTTTGTGACTGACTGAATAATAAGGATAAAAACTTTTATTAAATAATTTTCATAAAATAGTTTTTGAAGTTGTTGTGGCAAACATTGGGACATAGGGTTAAGGTTTTTATTAAATGTTACATTTTTTAATCTTTGGAATATCACAAGAAAAGGTGATGAATAGAATGTATAGAGTCTAGAGTGAAATTTTTACTCAAATTTATAAGCACTTTTCGTTAAGAGCCGTGGTAGCTTAGATGGTTAGGGCTCGCTGTAAATTTCACAGTACTTGAGTAAACCGGGTTCGATCTCCGCCGGTACCAATGAAATTGTTAATTGCAATTTTAAGTGCTGATTTACCACGTGCTCGACGGTGAAGGAAAACATCGTGAGGAAACCTACATGTCTGAGGAATAAGAGAAAAAAAATATGTCGAAGACATGTGAAGTTCGCTAACACGCATTGGGACAGCGCGGCGGACACTTCCTTGCCCTAAAACCCTCTCAGAAATGAGGGGAGGCCTGTGCTCAGCAGTGGGACGTATATGGACGTAGTGGGACATATAGGATGTAATATTACTTTTAATTTTACTTTAATAGTGATTGACAATTGAGAATTTTTGTAGAAGTGAGTTAAAGGTGATTATCGTGTAGGGAGGAGCGGCTGAGGTTCATCCGCGAGAAGTACGTGTTCCGCGCGTGGGCGGCGCGCACGTGCCGCGACGCGGGCGAGCGCCAGGCCGAGGTGGCGCACGCCGTCAATAACGCGCAGCTGCACCACCTGCTGCAGGCCTACGCCGAGGGCGCCGACCTGGCCGCGCCGCTGCCACGTTCCGTTAGTCGCTTTTTATTAACTCACTTTCTTGTTTATCTGTCTGTCTATCGTTCCCGAGGGAATCTTGCAACACTTCCCGATTAGCTGCAGACTCGAAATTTTGAACATAGCTCAGAATCGGATGGCAATGTAGAAATATGAAAACCCCGTGGTGTATTAAAATTTTTAGTAAAAATTTAAAAGAAATAAAAACTTATTTTATTTCTGTGGTACGCTGTATATATTTTAAGTGACGTAAAAATCACGAACACGTGAACGCACACATATTCACATATAGCCGAATACTCATTCGCTACTAACGAACGAGCTACGAGTCTACTTGATAGCAAGTGGATGCTGTAGCCCATAGACATCTACATCCTCAATTAAGAATCAAATTACAGATGCGCTGTCACCGCTGAGGACTACGATGAAATGCCTCTTCCAGTAAAAAGGGTCTCCGGTTCTATACAATCACCATACAAAACACAGCAGCATTAAGCTGCTATTTTACGCTAGTATTCAGTGAGAGCAGATATATCCTGGTTGAGCCACAACCCATTCTTACTGGACCCATAACATAGCTACAGCATGGCTCTGCCACGTAAAAATGTCGTTAAATCTCGTGATATCACAGTCACTGACTTAAAGTAAGAAATACATCACAAGACTTACGGCAATTTAAAATTGAGCAGAATTTGAGTATTTGGACATTAATAAGTCTTAAAATTTGCTTCTATAATTGAGAGGCAATTCAGAAAACTGATGATAACAAAATCAGGGAATACAGGTTGGTTTCGCAGCTACATATCTATATTATCTACATCTAAAATTTAGTTACTCCACCCGATAGCTAAAGTATCAAAGAGTTCATTACGTTGAGTGAGGCTGTGACACATCCCACGTGGTGAAGAGGTAAGCACCGCCATTTTAAGCTCGTTTCATTACGTATAAATACGTTTACGTACGGCCGTGGACACGACACAACGGCACTCCAATTTTTCATTTTTTTTGTGGCACGTTTTTTGTGTGATGGGGCCCCGTATCAACATAAAGAAAATTGCAGCACTGCGTACATTTCAAGTGAAGCAAAAACCATGGACACGTGAACACGCACACTCGATAAACATATATGTAGCCAAATTTATTTGCAACCGACGACATGGTTTTAGTTGCATATGTGTGACGCGTCTAGCAGTAAATTTAATGTGTTTACAAAAACGAGATATTAATTACTCGACTCATTTGAGTCAGTAATTTATTCTATTAATTAACAAAAACTGTAGAAAATCGTTTTCTTTATGTATTTTTAAGAAGAATTAATGCTAATCGATCTATAATCGATAAAAATTGTTCTTTTTAATTCTGCTACCTACTTCACAACCCTAATCTTCATAATATGGTGCAACTTGCTTACCAGTGAACGAGTTTATGGCGGCCGCTAAATGGCGGTATTTTAAAAATCCATTATCTATATCATCCATCATAGTCTATAAAAGTTCACTGCTGAACATTCACCCCCTTCCCCTCCCCGCATGCATTGTCTCATGGGGGTTTTTTTGCCATAGTTGCACGCTTGAAAGTTAAAGCGATCACTACGTACTAAAGCATAGCCCGCCTGTCCTTAAAAATTGTAGAATGTATAGCGGCGCTGACGTCGGTGAGTAATGACTGCGAAGTTAGCTATTTATGAGTACAATTTGATGAAGTTAGTTGAATAATGTACAAATTTTCTCCGCGGCATTGGTGAGAAAATTTTCATGCTCCGTATTTTGTAATTTATGACAAAAAGAAACATTAAAAAATGGAGAAATATTTTATTGTGCCTGGATGTGCAAGTGGTTTAACATCTGATCGGAAAAATAGACTGAAAATGACTTATTGACCGACCTTAGCAATCGCAGCGCCTCACTTATGGTGTCCATATTTCTGGGACACTATTTTCTACGGCGATCGTTCTCCTGTTCTCTAACCTTCATGGTTGCACGCTTGACAGGCGGGTAGTCAGTGTTATTTTGAGTTGTTATCTAAAAGATACGGCTCCCCATCACAAGTTTCAGTTTTCCTCTGAAGCCTCTTACGACACCCACGCGACGAAATGGGGTAGTGGATATTCTATTCTTACACCGCACCACCACTGTAATTATTTAAAAATGCCGAACCCAAATCCCTCATACGATGAGATATGATATGAGAACCTTTTTTGAAAAATAAAAGGCATTAGAGTGAAATTCCTTATTTATTTCAGGATTGCGGAGAAACTGCCCTCCACCTTGCCATATCTCGGGAGCTCGGTGACGGTTCCTGTTTGCATATAGTCGATTTCCTAGTCCAAAACGGTGGCCCACAGCTACTGGATAAAACTACAACGTCGGGGATGACGGCGCTACACTTGTGCGCCATGTTTGATAGAACCGAACCTATGAAACTGCTTCTAAAGGCGGGAGCGGATATCTCTATAAGAGACGGGAGTGGCAGGACAGCTTTACAACTAGCCCGCCAGTTAGGACATCATACCTGTCAAGAACTGGTAAGATTCCTTAAATATTCATACCAAAAAATGAATAGCTTTTTTTATTTTACTAAGAAATGGTAAATTCATTAATTACAGCTCATCAATGCCCACTGTTGAACATTGGCCTCCTCCTCACAGATTGGTCATAAGGGGGCATTTGTCATTGTTACCACATTTTATAACAAAAACGCTTTTTGTAAAATTCAACATAAGAATATATTATGTATATACTTAAAGACATTTGATAATATTATCATATTGTCGTTATTAATATAACTAAAGACTATTTAAGTTTAAACCATCGTTGATAAATGTATAAGAGTACAAATTGGCATTTTAATATATTTTTCACTGGTTTTAAAGAGGGCCATCCCTTACTAAATAACCCCTCGTTTTACCGCTTAATGTAGTTTTGCTAAGGCTTACTTCGCAGTTACGAGCAATAAGGATTATTGACAGTCTTTACAACCTAAAAACTTTCTAAGCGCTACTCTCATGTGTAATGTAATATGTAATAAGCTGCCTATATTTTGTGGGTCTAAACATTTTTTCAACCAATATCTAACACAAAATTTTGCCTAATTAGTACTTTTGGCTTTAATTTTAAATCATATTTAGCAAGGACAGATATATAAAAAATATTGTTCCGTACAAACTATAAACTTGTCTAAACATAGAAGCCACTGCTATTAATGAAAACTCTGTGCGCTAATCTTATTATATTAATTGTTTTTTGTGGAAATCGCAGTAAAAATTACGAAACGATATTAAATTCCATTAATGTGTCTTGTAATGTGTGTATACGTGGTATGGTGGTATACGTTGTATTTAATATATTATATTTATATTGTGTGTGTGTGTTGTAAATTTAAAAAATACATTTCTGTGAATAACCTACCGGGCCGTGTAGTGGTGGGCTAAAACGGCGGTGTAATTGGGAAATTATAATGATTTTAGACGTTTATACAAATAATTTTATATGTGGTAGAGCCATGCTGCAGTTATATTAGTAGTATAGTTGTAGCACGAATGGGTCGGCTCGACCGGGGAAGGACCACGCTCTCACAGAATACCAGCGTGAAATAGTAGCTTAATGCTGCTGTGTTTCGTATGGTGTGTGTAGAGAACCGGCGACCCTTTTTACTGGAAACGAGGCATTCCATCTTGGTCCTCACGGGTGACAATGCATCTGCATTTTTATTCATAATCGAAGATAGATGTAGATGTCTATGGGTCATAGCAAATCACTTACATCAGGTGGACTATGTGCTCGTTTGTCACACTATCCTATAAAAAAAAGGTGTCGCAGCCAACAAGCTTAATTAGCCTTTCAGTTAACAGCAGTATTAGTAAGCTGAGGTAGCAATGGGCGGCCATATAACTCGAAGAATCGACAACTCGTAGAAAAAGAGGTTCTCGAGTGACAGCCTCGTACCAGTAGGCAAAGTGTAGGGCATCCCCCACCAGTTGCAGTGATGACCTGATAAGATATGCAGGAAGTCGATGAATGCAGGTGGCTCAGGACCGTGCTTTGTGACATTCCGTGGGGGAAACGCTGTGTTCAGCAGTGGACTTGTGAAGCTGTAAGTCTAAGCTGTAATGATGATGATGATGATTAATAATAAATAAACTGCGATCGCCAACGCGCCTGCCAAGTATGGCATGGGCAACTATGGCAAATATCCTCCATATGGGGAAATTCTATGGGGCAGGCCAATATACACCAGTGAACTTTTGATAAGCTGTAACAAATGAAATGTAATGTAATGTAATATTAGTTGTAATGTTGTGTGTAATGTTTAGCAGTGGACTTGTGAAGGGCTGTAATGATGATGCTGATGATGAATAAATGAAATAAAATGACAGCGCGATGATCACCTCGTCGCCGTGCAGCTAATAGTGAATTCGTCCTACAATGGGAGAGGCAGGGGCCCGGGCCCAGCATTCAACTTTTACAGGCTAATAAAGAAAACGAAAATGACTGAATAGTTTTTATTTACTAATATTGTTAACTTTTGTTTATTATTTCAGTTAGAGAGTGTTGACAAAAGAGAAAAAAGCATTTTCGAAAATGTCAATATAGATTGGAACCTATCCCACGATGATGGTTCTACAGACTTCTCAGATGATGAGACAGTTATAGACGAGAGGGTAAGTTACTGTCTTAAATAAAAACCACTTAGAGCTCTTAATTTTAACTTCCATAGAGGGGGTGAATGTTGAAGCAACATGTAACTTTTTTTTTGGAGACGCCTTTTATTTCATAAAGTTGACAATGACCATTTATCTTAATCGTGGGGCACGACTACACGTTGTCATTATTGCATTATGAACATTAGTTAAAGTCCATCACTGGATACTAGGCTTTGGATAATTGCGCATTTTAATTTGGTAATTGGGTATTTTTAAAATGTGTGAACTTCAATCACTAAGGTGTGGGGATGGGTTGACGAGTAGCAGCCCTCCATCACTAGTCGCAGAATTTGTTTCGGAATTTTTGGATACAGTATCATAATATAGTTTAAAGTTTTTATCACTCAACTGTTATACAATAACAACACACACCTAGTGTTACCAATCCTGGTGAGATAATTAATGGGTTCCGCATCTCCACACAGCGTACTCTCCCTATACACGCAAGCCTGAACCGATTTCATCACTCATATCGACAGACACTAGTTCAGCTGTCAGAACCAGGGCTTCAACCTTACTAGGACGGTAATTAGATAACTTACTCGTTAAGTTAGTTTAACTTAAAGCATGAATTTATACTATTGCTGGACACAGGACATTTATTATTTCTGACTAAATTCTAGAGCAAGGTCGTCAAATACATTTTGCCATACTTTACATGTCTGAAATATCTTTTTCTCTTATCGTACAGTGAATGAGTAAAAATTCATAACTAGGACCCAATGATTAGACACGTACACTGCTCATCATAATCATCATCATTCACCATTTTATATAGCCGAGTCAGATGAATCAGAAAGAGTCCTGGCTATTGGCTTTAACATCGTCGAAAAACGTTAAAGCACTTGCTTATTTACTCAAACATTAAAAAAAACCATCCTTTGGTGATTATTTTCAGCATAATGGCAGCGTGACTCCTGAAAAGAAGTGTCCCCGCTCGCGTCCCCCTTCGTACGCGGGGGGTGCGTGCGGGTCGGGTGCGGGCGGGGGTGGCGGCGGGGGTGCGGGCGGCGGGGACTCGCCCGTGCTGCGCTCGCGCTCCTCCACCTGCGACTCGCTGCACCACGCGCCCCCCACTCCCACCACACTACCCAGGAAGCCCAACGTGTGTGAGTGCAACACATTTTTTAAAATTTCAAATAAATTGATATGTAAACTAGTGTGCGGTATGCAAGTTTTTTCTTTAAATAGAATAAGGGTGACAAACAAACGCACAGTCTAATGGTAAGTTGATACCGTGAGGTAGACTGCAACCTTACAAGGCGCAGGTTCGGCCTCACATGGAATACTGTTCCCATCTCTGGGTTGGGGCTTCCGAGTGCCAGCTACTTCCACTTAACCGCATCCAGCGCAGTGCGGTTCGAATCGTCGAATACTGAGTGCTTTTTGATCGGCTCGATTCGATTTCGATCGCTGCAAGGAGATACTGCATCCCTTTGTTCGCATCTACCACGAGGAGTGCTCTCAGGAATTGTTCGGATTAATAACAGCCGCCAAATTTCATGAACGCACTTCGCAACAAAACTCCCGATACCACCAGATCATCTGGATGCTTGGCGGTCCACCACTGTAAGCTTTACTAGGAGTTTTCTTCCGCGTACGACCTCTCTGTGCAATAGTTTACTACAGGCGATTTTCCCGAAGCGATACAACTTAGGGACCTTCAATATTTGATACAGAGCAAGATCTACGAACAAGATGGTACCCTTGTTCAAAAAAATAACAACGACATACGGAAACGGTGGCGTTCAGAGAACTTGACTCAACTAAATAAACGCAGCAAGTGGCAAAGGGAACAAAGAAATATCAAGATCAAAGACGTCGTGCTCGTCCACGAAAACAACTTACCTCCAGGACGGTGGGCGATAGGTCCCGTCGTCGAATTTCATCCCGGTTCTGATGAGCAAGTGAGAGTGGTTACAATGAAAATCAAGAATGGCTACCTCAAAAGTCTGTTAGTGAATTTTTCGCTACTACCTGTAGGTCAAGACTCAGATTGCAGCGATAATAACACAAACAAACCGTCATCAATCAAAAACGATGAACAAACAAGAGCGCCTCCATCTGTTAAGAAACCTCAAGTTCATATCTCGTCGCTGGCGTTGGCTATGCTATTTTCCTTGAGCATACTTAGCACTTCGTCATGTTCTTTTTTTAACACACCTCTGAAATCAAACCAAGGAATATATTTCGACAAAGTCTCTAACATGCAAGTAATTAGAGTTGAATGGACCATGGTCGTCTATATTTTTTTTTATATAGGATAAGGTGACAAACGAGCACACAGTCCACCTGATGGTAAGTGGTTGCTGCGGCCCATAGACATCTACATCTATCCTCGATTACAAATCAAAATGCAGATGCGTTTTCACCCGTGAGGACTAAGATGGAATGCCTTGTTTCCAGTAAAAAGATTCTCCGGTTCTCTACACTCACCATACGAAACACAGCAGCATTAAGCTACTATTTTGCGTTGGTATTCTATGAGAGCGTGGTCCTTCCCCGGTCGAGACGCAGCTGCAGCATGGTTCTACCATCTATTATGACATGAGCCCCTACTGGTAAGGGATGAAGACCTTTGAACAATATTCTAATTATTTACAAGGAATATGCGATAAATTACAAGGAAATTAATGTTATATTATATTGTGGTAACCATAGAATACTATAATATAAAATAGAATGGCTGTCAACTTTATTTTCTACGAGGATCGGTGTCGCTGGGAGCACACATACAAGCAATTACGTTGTATTATCGCTACTACAAACCCGATTCGTTGTGCTGTTTTTGACACATCTCTATTTCTTTATTTTTGTTTCTAATATTCACAAAATATAAATAGTTTCGACTTACTGGATACTGGTTGTAGGATACATCTCCTTTATTTAAATTCCATTTCCCGCTGTTCTTTCGATACGTAATTATTGCATAATTTGCCATTTTTTAAATAATTTGCATGCAGCGACGTTTGACACGAAAATTGGAAACGATTGATTGTGTTGATATTTTTAGATGTGAATTGGCATGATAGTGGTTACACGGGCTCCGGCCACTCCACCGTTCTATTATGTATGTATTATAGAGTTCTACGGTGGCAACTACATCATAGTTACACCGAGTTCCAGCATTATAATTATATATAACTATTTGATGACACAACATTCGCGCACGCGCTTGCGCCGCCTCCGAAGACTGATCAACGGAGTTGGCAGTATCGCGAACTCATTATTTTGAATTTTAGACGAGAATTTTGCTCAAAAATACCCAAAAAGACATAACGCTCATCCGTGACGATCAGCAGCATCTGGCAACATTGTGGCAAAATCAAACATCTATAGTCGAGGCGGAGTATAACTTACCTAAAAGGAGTGAAGACGCTGTGAACAAGCAGCATAAGTTAATAAACAGACAAATGCTAAATATAGAAAACCCCGTGAACATATTAAACTCAGAGGTCGTCAACATATCTCAAGTGAATCAACTAACTTTGACTGCTGTAGCTCAAAGCAATATGATACAGGAATTACGAAGCGTGCGAGAATCATTGCTGGACACGATCACAGATATTTATCACGGTAGAATTAATTTCCATCTCTTGTCTCCAGAGCAGCTTAATGAACTCGGTGTCATGGCAAGTCAAATATCGAAGGAGCTGGCCTTACCAATCGAAAACATACGAGCAAGCCTTCAAAGTATTTATCATCTCTTAACAATAAAGGCCAGAATTTGCGAAGATTATCTACTGTTCGAGATAAAGGTGCCGCTCATCAGTAGAGATTCCTTCGAAATATTTCATCTTATTCCAGTACCGACCGTACCGAAGATTAATAACAGCACGATGGTTAACACGATACCAATATCGAAATACGTGGCCATAAACCTAGCAAAGATTGCGTACATGTGATGGATATAGATGATATTTCGTCATGCAGTCAGCAAAGTGACATGTATTTATGTCACCTGAAGAAACGTGGTAGAGCCATGCTGCAGTTATATTAGTAGTATAGTTGTAGCACGAATGGGTCGGCTCGACCGGGGAAGGACCACGCTCTCACAGAATACCAGTGTCAAATAGTAGCTTAATGCTGCTGTGTTTCGTATGGTGAGTGTAGAGCACTGGAGACCATTTTTACTGGAAACGAGGCATTTCGTCTTAGTCCTCACGGGTGAACAGGCATCTGCATTTTGATTCGTCATCGAAGATACTCGTAGATTTAGATGTGTATAGGCCACAGCAACCACTTACCATCAGGTGGACTGTGTGCTCGTTTGTCACCCTATCCTATAAAAAAGACCAGTTTACCATCTCTCACAAGACAAGAAATTCTGTGCCTTCAATAATGGTAAACAACAGTGTAAAACTATTGTGGACTACTGCAATAATAAATGGACTAAATTAAACAGTGTAAACAAGTACTTTTACTTTTGTTGTGAGAGATGTCAGTACGAGTGATGTGCGCGGATCAGGTGACCGTGCCACAGCTGGAGCTCGCCGGCATCTTCAGCATTTCCAACGGGTGCGTTGTCAAGTCCGACCTATTTACAGTGCACCCTCGTAACCTTGACCGCAGCGTTATCAAGACGAGCCAGGACATCCAGGTTGAAGACCTGAGTCCGATAAACAATATCATCTACGCGTCGATCCCGATGTCTTCTTTAATAGATTAAATCATTAACGACCGCTAAAAACAATTTTCGGACTTAGAAACAGCTAAAAGATTTGAGGGAGCAGGCGGTGTTGACAAGTGATGTACCATGATGTGCCTCATTATGCTCTCATATGGCTCGTGATCGGAGCAGCAATTATCGTGGGTGCAGGACTGGCGTGGCGGCGAATGCGACAAGCACGGTTAACAAGAATCAACTCTCCGGCAGTGCCCCCGGCGGTGGACCGCACCACGGTTCCCCTCTCCTCCGTCCGAAACAGCATTTGTGAAGAAGAAACGACCGATCGCAGTTATCATGTTACCAACCAGCTAGACAATGTTAGAATTGTAAACAGCTCTACGTCGCCCATAGCAACTTATACATCTTTTCTCAAGCAATCGTGATCAGCATCCCGTTCTCTTCTGGCGGCCCGGAGCGCGGGAGGATGCACGGTTTTGCACCGTGCATCCTCCCGCGTCGGCATTTCAGTAATGACACTATGCGCGACTGCCCTCATTCAATAATATTTTACATTTTTAATGCTTTGGAGTTTGCCTACCAATACAGTCGCGCGACCTTGGCTTGGAAAGCCCACTTCGGATGTGTGTTGGTGGGCTGCGGCGAGACGAGAGGCGTGTCCTCTCCCCCTACCGCTGCACTCGAGGTGGAGTCGCGGAGGAAGAGTGGTATGGTAGGTGGTCGTGGTATGTCGATGCGCCACTCGCGCTATCATCCGCGACGCTGACGGGGCCGCCCCGTTAAATGATGCGGTGGTGGTGGGGCTGCGGGGGGAGAGGAGTGTCGGTATTGTGAAGCGACGCTTTCCCTACCTTCCGCAGCCGAATTTTTGTTGGCGGTCTTCTGAGTGCTCGTTTTTCCTGGCCCCATGGCCTTGTGACCGTGGAGTGAAAAGGGGAGATCTCCCGCCGGGCAAGGTGTTCTGCCTGGGTAGCGGCCAACACTCCGTGTGATAGTTCAGAGATGTTCTATATATACTGTATATGATTCGGAATTTTAATAGCGTGATTTAGGCTTCGGTGTGTTTCGCTTGCGGCGCGACAGTGTCGCCACAGCCTTCGCGCATTGGACACAGGGGCGTCTGTTGCGCACGTGAAAATGGAGGCTGCGGAGGAGGGCGCTACTCCACTACTTCTTACACTACTACGCCTATTGAACTAAACATCGGACTATCTCAAAATTTTATGAGAAAAAATAAAATCAGATCTGATTGCTACTGATTTCAATTATTTTTTATGGAATTTGGATAAATTTACACATACCAAAATTCAACTTCGGTGAGGCAATGTAAAATCTGAAGTAACTTATAATAATTTATCTATTTCTTTTTTTTAAATTTCCACTAGAATAACAAAAACGCCATATGCCATATGTTCTGGTGCGCCTTATCTGAGAAGGAGGAGGAGGAGTAGTTCTCTCCCGAGGAGGGGCCGCAAATGTGTGCGAAAGCATTCCCGTGGCCTGCCACTATGCGACGAAGGTGGAACACCATGCGGTTTTAGTCGGTGTGAGATCGACATAACCCTTCCTTGCCCCCGCGAGGCGGGTATGCGTAGGCATTTCTCCATGTAAAAAAGGCAGGTTGGCAACCGCAGTTTCTTATAATTTTTCGTTGTTATAAGAAAGAAGGCGCATCTCCTGTTTCATCTGTTGCCTCTTGCGACACCCGCGGCACGGGTAGTGGATATTCTCACACCGACACTACAAGGTACACATCGCTATCACGCTGCAACATTATAACGGAAGATTGTTTTTTTTTTCATTTTCAGATAATATCGGTAGCTTGAAGAAGCGCGCGGCGCCGCTGCCGCCGACCGTAGCGCTGTCCCACCCGCCTCCTTACCCGCGCTCTACACCGTCGCCCTCTGCTGACAGTACCCGCTCTATGCATGGTATTCTCTCTTTTTTCAAATCTGTCATTTTTTATAATATTAAAGTTACAAACTATAGTTAATGATAATATATAATTAATATTTATTAAACAGAATATGGTACACACTTATCTAATTCTTATGATTAAAGTTTCGTTTAGAACAAAAAAAAAAATAAGTCAATAGGTACTTAAATGTGTAACACATAGTTTCATTCGAACAACAAACAAGTTTGTCCACTATATCTGTGAACATTTCTTAAAAATATATTTTTGTCTTATATTTAATTGTACTTTTTTATGGTTATAACATTACAGCACTGGCTTATATCTTTATATATAAAAATCAATTGCTGTCCGTTGGTCTCGGCAAAACTCAAAAACAGCTTGAACGAGTTTGATGATTTCTTTTGTGTGTTGGACCCGATAGGTGGTGCTGTTGTAGAGATTTAAAAATCGCTAGCAGGTCGCTAGTTTATAATATATTTACCATAGATATAGTATAGTATAGATTAGCGATCGAGTCATTAGGGCGATCATCATCATCATCATTACAGCCCTTCATAAGTCCACTGCTGAACATAGGCCTCCCCCAAGTAATCCCACAAAGCACGGTCCTGAGCCACCTGCATCCGTCGACTTCCTGCATATCTTACCAGGTCGTCACTCCATCTAGTGGGGGATCGCCCTACACTACGCCTACGGTACGAGGCTGCCACTCGAGAACCTTTCTTCCCCATCGGTTATCGGTTCTTCGAGCTATATGGCCGGCCCATTGCCACTTCAGCTTACTAATCCGTTATCCGCTATGTCGGTCACTCTGGTTTTACTGCGGATATCCTCATTTCTGAGTCTATCACGCAGAGAAACTCCGAGCATAGCCCTCTCCATAGCTCGCTGAGCGACCTTGAGCGTCCTCATACGGCCAGCAGTGAAGGACCACGTCTCAGATCGTAAGTCATCACTGGCAACACGCACTGGTTGTACAATCTAGTTTTCAGAGATTGAGGTATACCTGACGAGAAGATGTATCGTAATTTCCCGAACGCTGCCCAGCGGAGTTGAATCCGTCGATTGACCTCTCGGTCGAAGTTGGACTTACCTACTCGGACTATTTGTCCCAGGTAAACGTACTCGTCAACAACTTCGAGCATAGTGCTCCCAACAACTACCGGCATAGGTGTGACATGGACATTAAACATGATCTATGTTTTGTCCATGTTCATCTTAAGACCTATCCGTTGGGAGACACCATTGAGGTCATTGAGCATAGTGCTTAGGTCCTCCAGCGATTCTGCCATAAGGACTATATCGTCGGCAAATCGAAGGTGAGTGATGTACTCGCCATTGATGTTAATACCGTATCCTTTCCAGTCCAGTAGCTTGAAAACGTCTTCCAACGCAGCAGTGAAGAGTTTCGGGGATATAACGTCACCCTGTCTTACACCTCTCTGCAGTTGGATAGGTTTCGTACTCTGGTTCTGTACTCGGATAGCCATCGTAGCCCTACTGTACAAACACTTCAGCATTTCAATATACCGACAGTCAACTTGGCACCGCTGAAAGGACTGTAGCACCGCCCAAATTTCGACGGAATCAAAGGCTTTCTCATAGTCCACATACGCCAGGCAAAGAGGCAGATTGTACTCTTCGGACTTCTGTACAATCTGCCGTAGGGTATGTATGTGGTCTATGGTACTGAAGCCTTTTCGGAAACCGGCTTGTTCGGGAGGCTGGAAATCGTCGAGTCTGCGTGCGAGACGATTCGTAATGACTCTCGAAAACAGCACGTAGACGCGACTCAGTAGGGAAATCGGTCTGTAGTTCTTCAAGTGAGCGTTATCGCCTTTCTTAAAGAACAAGACCACCGCACTTCTGCTCCACGCCTCCGGAGTAGTGCTACCATGGAGGACGGAATTGAAGAGCTTCTGAAGGACTTCAAGTATCGGTGTTCCACCCGCTTTCAGAAGCTCCGCTGTAATTCCATCCCTGTCTGGGGCCCTGCCGTTTTTAAGGTGCTGGAGAGCCATTGTAATCTCGCTCAGACTGACGTCCGGGCTGTCATCGGAATAGTGTCGGATAAGACTTGCTCTTGGATCGTTACTCACACTTGCGTGTGGCTCCAACGATTAGGGCGAGACCATTATCAAAATACACCAGCGTGTAATGTGCATGTGTAGGTGATAAATAGTGCTGCAACATGATTTGCCAGTGTAAACTTCAATTATCGATACCGATTGCAGTATATTCTTATCTTCTGATGTGACACAGATGATTTAATTGAATATTTTTACCAAACTACTGCGAATGTTTACAATTTTAGAAGGCTATGTATGTCTGTTCATTTGATCTCTCAGATCTTCTAAACTACTCTTACTGTTTTGATGAATTAGATTTCTTAATAGTTGCGCTTTCGCGGGTTTTAAGCTGCATGAAATCATATAAAAACTATCATTGTGATTTATTGCGGATATATAATGAAACATTAAAATACACACAATTTAACAACACTAAACTAAAATAAAATGAAACTAAAACTCAAACTAATACTCAACTTAAAATATTGTCCTTACCTCCCCATGGTATCATACCAAGAACGCTGGCTGCGTTTCCTCGCTGAATGGCTGTACTAATTAGGTAAATATTAAAATATCGTGTCAGCGTATCCTAAAAAGGTGTAATTCAGGATAATTTCGACATTCCAAAATACATGTTATATATAATGTTAACTATATTAGTATTTATAAGTTAATTAAAAATGAAGTGTCCAACGAACTTACAGTCCGCCTGACGATGGTAAGTTACTTTTATACCCATTGGAAATTTGCAGCTAGCTTCAAATGAAGAAGGTTTTGTCACCTCTACAGACTTAAATGAAATGCCTTACAGCCTTTATTTGTACCGGTTCTAGGTAAGAGGGTGACACCTACCCTAATGACCTCCCAGATCGAAATGCGCTCCTATTGCTTAGTTCATACATAAGCTTCAAAAATTTTTTAAAGTCGCTGAGAACAATGCTGTTCTTAAAAAAAATTATATGCGTGTTATGTGTATATCAATTAAATGATGTTAACTAAAACCAAACTGCGTTTTATCAAACAGGGATCAAACAAGACTGCGATGTCAATTTTTTAGAATCTTTTAAAGACAACTAATTTATTGTAAAAATGTTGTGAGCTAGCCATGCTGCATCTATATTATAGATGCGGCACGAATGAGCCGGCTCGACTGGGGAAAGATCACGATATTACGAAATACCAGCGTAAAATAGCAGCTCCATGCTGTTGTGTTTCGAATGGTGAATGAAGAGAACCGGAGAACCTTTTTACTATAAACAAGGTTTTTCATCTTAATCCTCAGCATTTTGATTCTTAACCGAGGATAGATTTAGATGTTTATGGGCCAAAACATCCATTTACCATCAAATGGACTGTACTCGTTTGATATCCTTATTCTAAAAAAAAAAAACTCTGCTTAAAGATATTTTGCAATTTTGCTGCGTACTTTGTTGTAATAATAAAATAAGTTTCAATATTTAGTTTTATTAATAAGTGATTATGGTTGTATGTGTTGTAATTTTTTTACCTATAATGTACCTCTATGTTACTGTTACAACCTATTAATGTCTACTGCTGAGCATATATCTCATAAATTGGTTCCTAGGGGTATATTTGCCATAGTTGCCACGCTTAGCAAGCGATTGCGACTGATTTGTTCCCCTCTGTCGCCTCTTACGACACCCACGGGATGATATGGAATAGTGGATATTCTTACACCGCCACTATACGCTGGGCATCTCTATGAAAAAAACATATCCCTTCAAAGTGCTTACTGCATATAGTCGAATGTTTCCTTATGGAACCCCTCCTTCTCTATTTATTATATTCAACCATTTTTTCAAATATCATTTTTTTTTTGAAAATTTCGCACAGTATTCACTTAGGTATCATTTGGTGGACTGTGTGATTGTTTGTAACCCTAATTCGAGTAATATTTTTTTCATGCAATTTGAAGAATTCTGAAACATTCAGCTACGGAACCTTAAAAATTAAAAAAAATACTAAGTTGAAAAAGGCTAAATGAAAGGTGTACTTTAGCCTGTTAAGTACATTTCGGTAAAATATTATCGATAATATAATTCTCTACAAAACTAAGGTTAAAATTAGCAGATTTTCACGTATTTGTAATTATTTTAAATTTAATTGCTTTGCATTCAGATGATTATTATTATAAAATGTGATAAAGTTTCCTATCCATTTAAGTACAAATTATTTGTACCTGCTCTAAAACACAGCGTTTAGACAGCTAAACATTTCAATTGTACCTACGGGTTAAATGTATAATAACGTGGGATTTCTTTCTGAGATGAGTTATATTTAGATACTACGCACCTAGTTATAATTAATTATGTCTATTAAACACAGTTTTTCACATTGAAACCTGAGATTTTGCGAATATAAGAGGAATTTGTTTTGTTCACGAATGAGTTCAGTACGATATAGCCCGATAGCGTGTACGTGAATGCTCTAGCCTATCTTTCTCAATCTAACATATGCGTACACTATGTTCTTTCTCTTTTGCATTAGCGATTTATTGTACCGTTAGTTTATAATAAATGGGTGCGTTTGGCAGAAAAAAGCGCTAGCAAGCGCTTGTAAGCAAAATAGTGAAACTAAACAGTTTTCGGCCAGGACACTTTTGCTAACTTCAGTAGCGCTAACATAATCCGCCATTTTGCTTATTTAATTTATTGTATTGAAGTAGTTTATAAGTTGTTTTTAGTTTTAAGTAATATAATGACATAAATAAAACATATACATATTATTAAAAATTCATGATTGGTAAGTTTTTGATATGAATACTTTACAAACATATATTTAAATTAGGTTAGGTTCCCCGGTTAAAACTAACTTCGTGTCCTAGAGGAAAATAGCTACTTACGATTTGACGTGCCCATTTTGCTTACAAGCGCTTGCTAGCGTTTTTTTCTGCCAAACGCAGCCAATGTATAACATTTAGTTGAACTTTAGTAAAGGAGGTGTGTGGGGCGCTGGTGAAGGCGCGGCCGGCGCAGCCGCCGCCCACGCCGCCGCCGGCCGCGCTGCACAACGGCGCGCACGCACTCCCGCGCGACGAGCCCACGCCGCCGCCCCGCAAGGTAGCTGGCCCTGCGATATTACTGCTTACAAACTGCACACTGAACGTGAACGCACTATACGAGCCGAACGCGTCGAACGAAACTAATTTTTAAATTCTATGTATGAAGTCATATGAAACCTCGCACATCTGTTCGCGTCGATTCGTCCGAATCTGGAAGAACCCCGAAAATCCTAGACGAATTGGGATGACATCATCAAATTCGGCGCGTTCGCATTCTGACAGTTGCGTACGACATAGCAACGTGCGAGTATAATTAATTCATCTTTTTTTTTAATGAGTGATTCTAATTTAATTGTATTAGTGCTTTCTTCAGCTTCCATTAATAAAGCACTGACAATAAAAATCTCGTCAAGATCCATCACAATTCACATGTAGTCACAGTACGACAGGCGTAAAGGAAATGTTGTAAACTATTTTTTCGGCTCGCTCGATTCTTTCGGTGCGGATATGAGTGCCTCCTTGACTTCGATTCTTTCGATGTGTTCGGTATTGCGTGCATTCACCTTAACACTTAACTACTTACGAATAAATACTGCACACACACTTTAATATGAAAAATAGACGCTGCGCATACAGGTGATATAGTAGTACTATAATGATTTTAGCACGAGTGGGTCGACCCGACCGATTTAGAACCACGCTCTCAGAGCATACCAGCGTAAAATAGCAGCTTAATGCTGCTGTGTTTCGTATGGTGAGTGTAGAGAACCGGAGACCCTTTTTACTGGAAACGAGGCATTCTGTATTAGTCCGCAGGGGTGACATCTAATCTCCATTTTGATTCTTACCATCACCATCAAGTGGACTGTTTTCTCGCTTGTCGCCCATATTTAATTTTAAAAAAATCTGTTAAAACGCCGTCATAACAATAATTTTTAAAGAGATTTATACGTCGTTTCTTAATCTCAATGTAAAATAAATTAAATAGTAAAATTTCATTGTAAAAAAATAAGTAAACAGAAATGACTGAAAAATCATTATTTTATTATTTTTTCTTTCTTTAAGAAACCTTCCCCCTGATTAAGATTTTCTCCTGAATTGTAAAGGCAGTTGACTTACAGAAATTTCACAAGGACAAACATTTATTATCAGTACTTAATCACTTAAAATACGACCGTATCCCTTCACTGCAAAAAGGAGCCAGATCACCTGGTTCCTTTCCGAAATGTATCACTGGAATACACCAACCGCATTCAGTGATTGGGGGTTCAGATTATCTCTATACTGAACTTCGGACTATTCATTGAGTCCAAGGCCAAAGGAGCTGCAAGTAAGTTGTCCTTGCAAAGCTCCGGTGGTACTGCACGCCGGCACAGCTGTTTATTCCATCTATAGCGCAAGTCGCAAAGCTGGTGTAGCAAAATACATACATTTTTGTCTCAATGAAAAGGCATGCTAAGAAACTTATTGGGATCCCGAATCTGGCTAAAATCAAGTCTCGAACACGGTCACAGGAACGTTTTCGCACACATTAATGACCTTAGCAGCGCCAGCCGCCTTAGGCGGCCTCTTCTCGGGAGACAATATCTTCTCTCTGTTTTCTCGACAGTGTGTCTACGTAGGTGGCCTCCACCTGCGTATAGAATGTTAATCAAATTATAGCATCTTGCTCAATTTTTATTTTTTGAAAATGGTAAAGAGGTACTGTAAAATGGTCAATGTAATTTTGGACAAACAGAAATGAAAAGTTATTCCTCTACATTTCATATTTTTTATTTGTAGTAAGATGGTATGTTATATTTGAACTTTTAAAAATGTAATTAAAAAAAACAGATATTTTTTTCTTGCAGAGACGTAACGCAATATCTGTTTATGGCAATTGTTATTAATTATATTTCTCTAGTCTGGTATAGTCAACCAAGTAAAAGTATAATATGTTCCTATCGCGAATATACAAATATTCTGTTAAGCCTGAAATGTTTTAATTTGCTAATTTAAATATTTAAATTTTCATTCATTTTATGTATTGCTAATATTAGCAGACTGTTTTATTTGTGAATAACATTGATTATTGACAGCAATTAATTTGATAAGGCTCTTGACAGAAATGAGGTGCCTAACTTATTATCACAATGTAAACACTAATTTTATGAAATAAAGTGCTTGTACATATTGCATAAAGTCGAATTATTTAATTTAAACAGTTAAGTTGATTTGAGGGCTCTTGATTGGGGAGACAGGACACACGCTGATATTCTCCTAAAATTATAGCATCGAACTCCAGAGACCTTAAAACGTTGAGAACTCAAACTGAGCTTTTTCTGAGAAATTAATGATATGGGAAATAATATATAAATGTATATGTTAAAGGGTTAAGATGGCTCCTCAAATAATTTGTATTAAATGTAAACAAAAATAGAGCGACTAACATTAAAGAATGAGTACAGGATTGTATTTGTTTTTGCTTCAGAAGAAAAATAGATTGCACCTGGAAAAGGCTGTCAATGCGAAACTGAAAAGGGTAACAAACCTCTGACGAGCTTTAGTATACTTACTTGCTTACCCTCGTTTTATTTGAGTTTCACTTTCTTATTTGTTTTACGAGAGTGTTATATTTATTGTCAAGAGAATGAAAACTGAAAATTGAACAATGCACGTTTTCATATTTTCGTTCTAATAATGTTTTATTAGTTACCAACTATATACTGTATCGGCTGTATTTATTTATTAATGTCTCTTGACAACTCGTTCCTTTTTTAACATAAAATATGTATACGGGAGGAAAATGTATGCATAGTTTATGATTAGCTCTATCCTCTCTGCATGTATATAACTACTCAGCTTTTAGTTTTAACATATAATCCTATTAATACATTAAAATCGACAAGTGCCTTTAGATTGCCCTTAGAACGTAGAGAGTAATGAATTACCGATAGTAGTAAAATTTATAACACTGCAAACACGCGAATATAACTGATTGTGACTTTGTGGAATCGTCTACGTAATTAACGCTCGCGTTTTTCACACTAATAACACTGAGTGAAGTGCAAGACGTTGAAGTTATTTTATACACAGCTGTATATAAATAGACTTGGATGTTTTCTTTTTCCCTTAGTAACCGATTTAGTCTGCCTTTTGAAGTTTATCGATATTTTCAATATTAAAAATAATAGGATCAAAATATAAACCGACTTTAAAAATTATCGGATCTGATTGAAATGGACTCAGTGGTAATTTTGCTAAAAAAAAGATTAAGTCAATTCAACTGCAAAATTTTAACTGCAATTGAATTGAAAACCTCCTTATTTGAAGTCGGTTAATAAATACAATTTAATATCGATATTAGTTTGCTTTTTGTAGGTTAGGCTTAATTTAAAAAAAAAACATTGAGCGAATTGAAATGAAACGTTCGTTGAAATGTTTCAAAGTATGCGTGGGATTTCAGGAATGTTCTAGTCAAGAGTCGTCCCTGGAGCTGTGCGACATGTCGGACGCGTGCCTGGATGACAGCCGGCCGGCGTTCGAGCGCTCGCGGCGCAGCGACAGCCGCTCGCTCGACGTGTCCGACACCTCCAGCGTTCACTCGCGCTCGCCCTCCGCCTCCATTACTATGGTAATGTTGATTCAACTTATCTCGTCCTACTCGCGATAGAATCAAATTCTGAATCAATCCTTATTTATATTTCGATCGAAACCGTAGCTAGCGCACAATTAAATTTGTTTACATTTATATATAGTGGTTAGTGGAATAATCGGAATGAAAGTCTTCATACATATGTCTGCTGCTGATGGCGCTCTTGATCGCAAGATATGACAACGTTTTTCATGATTAACATGTCTTATTTATATAATAAAATATTTAATTACAATTTTACAATACGTACAATTTAATATACAGTGTTTAACTCCATGTAACATCAATAAATTTAACGACAAACTCCCTAAAGTGTCGAAATCACTCGGCTTTGGTTTGTTTAGCTTGTCTTCCATATATTGAATCACACTTCCTCACAATAACAACAACAGTTAAATAATAAAAAGTACTTTATAAGTTTCAAAAATTAGTAAAAACTGCACAGGTTACGTTGTTTTGTTCTTTTGTCGCTTTATCCTTATTTTATTATTATTATTATTTTATAAAACTCGACTGTTGGCATCATACATACCAAACTTTCTAGGAAATCCGTTCGTTTTGTTTACAAATTGGGATTGCTTACACGTGTAGACGTTATCATATTCTTAGTTGCTCACAGAGAATAGCCTTCAAATAACTATTGTTTTTATGTAATTACTGACAATCGTTTGAAATAAACTTTTTTTTCTAATACAGAATTTTCTTCGTTCCATTTAACGACTACTCTCTATAACGTCAAAGTAGCAGTTCCTTGTGTGTCGTTATATAGAGTTTACACTGTATGTTAGAAATGATCTCCGGATAGTGAAATGTCCGGATGTGCCTAAACGCGCCGATAACGTTTTATTGTAAATAGATCGTGTTTCTCGATTGTAAGTGCTTCGGGAGTAAGCTTTTAAATCGTTTTTGATAAAACGTCATTTTCGATCGAAAACCGAATTAATTTGAAAATAAATTCTGGAGTAAGCCCTCAAATCATTTTAATTTGCAGTCACACCAAGACCACGTCTGCCGCGCTGCTCCTGTGCCTGTTGACGAACTTCACGTGTTCTCTAAATATTTTATTCTTTACATATTACTCCACACGATGTTTTCGTTCACCGCCGAAGACGTGGTAAAATCAGTTAATAAAATTAACATTAAGAATTTCTTTGATGCCGAGGGGAATGAACCAGTGTAGCTCACGTACACTTGACTTGCATTATTTCATGACTTCCTGCATGCTTACAATTTACGTTCAAACTTCAAAACGTTATCGTAACCAAGGTCCATAGATCTAGGACAGACACAACAGTGCCAGAAAAAAGCGCTGCAACGCATACAACATCCCAAAAGAGTCATATAGAAACAGAAGAAACAAACAGTTATAAAAATTCATGATTGGTAAGTTTTAATATGAATACTTTACAAACATAAAAAATATTCCCCGGTAACCTCTACAACCTTCTAGCGCTTTTTCTCCAAACCAGCCATTATTTCATGACTTCCTGCATGCTTACAATTTACGTTCAAACTTCAAAACGTTATCGTAACCAAGGTCCATAGATCTAGGACAGACACTAACTATTGACAAATATTAGCAGTTACAGTATAAATAACACTCCCAATGACTATGATTAAAATGAGCGTAATTGTGTAAATTTAATGTAAATATAAACCGCTTCTTAAAAATAATGACGCAACTTGTTATACCTACGAGTTCATCAAGTTGAAGTAGAACCACCACTCCCTTACCTTCTCTGCTACTAAAACTATTTACCGTTTTTGTTTGAAGTTGTCAGTTTCATGGATTGAGCGTCGCTCGTAGTAGAGTAACGTCTTTTTTGAACCTATAAAATAATTTTAGTCACTAGTTAAGTATTAAACTTGTCTATTTGTTTTTAAATTTTTAGAATTTTACGTAATTTGTTAAGAATTTTTTAAATTAAAAATGTTAAGAGTTATTTCGCAACAATCCGCTCAATTAAATAAAATTATGTGTCTTACTTAATTTGTGGAGCACCTCCCGCCCTCCCTCAATTGCGTGCACTGAGCAGCACCACTACTCCCATCACCATTACTCTAGGAAAGACACACCATCAACGATAATACACGTGATTCGTGAGACGAGGCATCCTCAAGTGATGTAGACTCTGCTATTGATGTAGCTATTTTTTCAGATATGGAAAAATATATCAGAAAACCACAAACCGTACGGTACAATAAAAATAGATAATACATAGAATAGAATACTGGCGTGAAGTGGAAGCTCTGCTTCCGCGTTTCGTCTGGTGAGTGCAGGTGGCTGGAGGCCCAAATCCCCCCCCCCCCCACTTAACATTGTAGCGGAATTAAGTGAAGATCTACCCCAGGAGGGTACCAACACCCCTGGAGAATCCCTCGCTAAGCATCCACGACCAAGTTACTCCACTCCTGAGCGTGGGTGCTCAGGCTGCTCCGCGTATTCTGGGGGCGGGGGGGCAAAATTCCGCTCAAGACTACATCTGCTCGGGCAAACGGGGCAACAAGACCAAGGCGACCCCTGCCACGCTGTCCGTGAATTTCCGCAATATCAGGGGACTTCACTCTCTTCTCGACGCCTCAGCAGACTTGAAGGTTCGGACCTGTTCATCCTTTGGCTACGCGTAGACAGCGAAGACCATCCGCGCGTGCCTCTATAGGTTCCATAGCGGTAATGCCGAAACAGACCGACTCTTCGACCACGTCCAAATGGCTGCAGATTCGTTGTTACAGCAGATCCCCTCCGCAGAGATCGTGATCCTCGGCGACTTTAACGCCCATCACGCCGAATGGCTTGGTTCGCGCTTAACCGATCATGCGGGGGAGATCTGTTCATGATTTTGCATTGGCATATGGTCTGACACAACTGGTTACTTCGCCTACGCGGATTCCAGATGTGGAGGATCATGCACCTTCCCTGTTGGACCTTTTGCTGACCTCTCACCCGTACAGATTCAGATTTCCGTCGTCGCCCCTTTAGGCTCCTCGAACCATTGTCTTGTCCGGAGTGTGGTGCTACCTACGCTGAAATCGCAGTTACATTCTGCAGGCTGCCGCCGTGCTTGGTACTATAGGTCAGCCGATTGGGATGGGATGCGGTCTTTCTTTGCATCCTACTCTTGGGGGTGGGTTTGCTTCTCGCCGGACGATCCCAACGTTGTTGCGGATTCTGTCGCTGATGTGGTACTTCAGGGTATGGAACTTTTTATTCCTTCCTCTGTGGTGCCCATTGGAGGCAAATCTCAGCCATGGTTTGGTCGCTAAATAAAATAGCATCACGCTATAAGCAGGAGTGCTACCAAATCTGGGCTGACGTATCAACGTCCCAAGATGTAAACACCATCGCTCTAAAAACGAAGTATAATTCCGCCTCTAGGTCCTTCAAAGGAATCATTGCCAGGGCAAAGTCAGAGCACACAGGCAGAATTGGCGAGAAACTAGTTCGACTTCCTTCTGGAACCCATGCATTCTCGTCTCTCGTCAAGGCTGTCTAGGGGAATTTCTGTCAACCATCATTTCCATCTCTGCACAGGGAGGACGACTCACTGGCCCATACCGAAAAGGAGAAAGCTGATCTGCTAGGCTCTTTCTTTGCGTCCAACTCGACTCTCGATGACGGGGGGAATATGCCGCCGACCATCCCGCGGTGTGAGTGTTCCATGCCGAAAGTGCAGTTTACACAGCGCTCGGTTCGCAAAGCACTCCTCTCCCTGGACATCCACAAGTCGAGTGGGCCTGACGGAATCCCTCCAATTGTGCTGAGGACGTGTGCTCCAGAGTTGGCACCGGTTATAACGCATCTTTTCCGGTACTCCTACTCCCTAAGCGTAGTCTAAAAAAGGCGACCGCTCAGACCCGTCCAACTACCGGCCTATCGCCATCACCTCCTTGTTCTCCAAAACAATTGAGTCTATTGTTAACTGCCAGCTCATGAGGTACCTTGAGGATCACCAGCTGATTAGTGACCGCCAATGCGGTTTTCGCCGTGATCGATCAGCTGGTGATCTTCTGGTCTACCTAACTCATAGAGGGGTGGAGGCAGTAGAGTCCAAGGGGGAGGCATTAACCGTTAGTTTGGACATTGTGAGGGCCTTCGATCGGGTTTGGCACAAAGCGCTTCTTTCGAAGCTCCCTTCCTATGGGCTTCCCGAGAAATTGTGCAATTGGATCACCAGCTTTCTTGCAGATCAGAGCATCAAGATCGTTGTAGACGGTGTAAGCTCCGATTACAAGCTTATTAATGCTGGTGTTCCACAAGGCTGCGTGCTATCGTCAACGCTGTTTCTTCTGTATAACAATGATATGTTGCAAACCCGTAACATTCATTACTATGCAGATGACAGCACTGGTGATGCTCTTTACACCGGCCGTGCCAATATTTCTCGGGAAAATGTCTCCGAGTACCGGGACAAACTTGTGTCTGAAGTCGAGTCTTTGCTGGACAGAGTCTCGGATTGGGGCGACTAAATCTAGTCCATTTTAACCCCCAGAAGACACATGTTTGTGCGTTAACCGCTAAAAAGAAACCCCTTGTCGTATCTCCCCAGTTTAAAGGCACTAACCTTATTGCCTCAGCCAGTATCGGTATCCTCGGCGTTGACATATCGAGTGACGTGTAGTTTCGTGGTCACTTGGAAGAGAAGGCCAAATTGGCCTCTAAAAAGCTTGGCGTGCTCAGCAGAGCGGGACAGTATTTCATGCCGGCACACCGCCTGCAACTTTACAAGGTGCAGGTTCGGCCACACATGGAATACTGTTCCCATCTCTGGGCTGGTGCTCCCCAGTACCAGCTCCTACCAATAGACCACATCCAGCGCAGAGCGGCTCGAATCGTCGACGATCGAGTGCTTTCCGATCGGCTCGATTCAATGGCGCTGCGAAGAGATGTTGCATCTCTGCATTTTCTTTCGCATATACCATGGAGAGTGCTCTGAGGAATTGTTCGGATTAATCCCAGCCGCCAAATTTCGTGAACGCACTACGCGGCAAACGTCCCGATACCATCCACACCATCTGGATGCTTGGCGGTCCATCACTGTACGTTTCACAAGGAGTGTTCTTCCGCGTACGACCTCTCTGTGGAATAGTTTATCACCGGCGATTTTTCCGGACCGATACGACCTTCAAGAAAAGAGCTTACTCCTTTCTAAAAGGCCGGCAACGCACCTGCAATTCCACTGGTGTTGCGGTTGATCATGGGCGGCGGTAGTCACTTAACATCAGGTGAGCCGCATGCCCGTTTGCCCCCTCTTCTGTAAAAAAAAAACATAAGGAGCATTTAGCCGCGTACAGAAATTGCAATCCTGATAAATCCATCCATTTTGCTAAACTTCTCTTGGACACTGTACACAACTTAGCCTACGACCACTCCTTTAAAGTCTTACATACTTGTAATAAAGGACTGCGACTGTGTGCGCTGGAACAGTTAGACATTTAAAAAAAATAATGGTAACATTGCACTGCTGAATGAACAAATTTTTCTAACTCACCTCTATTAAGCCTGCTCACTAATAAAAAAAAAAACATCCTCGTGATATGGTAGTTTATCACCCTCGCGGTTATCAGCGATTCGCTGCATGGTTGGAGGGTAGGTGAACGTTTCGGGGCGGTTTGTTGTTTTATTATTTTACAGCAAACGGCAGCGAACGTCAGGTGGTGATTGATCGCATGCTTTTATCGCATGACGCGGTCGTTCGCTACTTTAGTGGGTAGCGATTGCAAACTAGGTAGGACACATGATTTTATTTTATTGAGCGGATGGTCGCGAAATAACTCTTAACATCTCTATAATGGATTTCCGCAAAGTAACGCCTGATTCTATTAAGATTTTTTTACAACAATTTCTTAACAAATGACGTAAAATTTTTTTTTGCTGCATTAATGAATGTCATTGTTAAAAATTTGATCTTGTTAAGTATGTATATAAAAAGGGTTCCAAGAAGTAAAAAAATTACAGGTCAATTATTTGAATTTTTATGTAGACTTTTGTAAAAACAGAGATTGGAAAAAAGCTAGTTAATTAACTATCATATAACTTTTTGAATCGACATAGAAAAAATCCAACGGGGCATGATTTATTTTAGTGTCCTGATAACAACATTTTTTTTTTCAATTTTGTAGATGTTATTCCGAATCGTATGAGCTATCGCACATATTTTTAGGAGCGGGAACAAGAATTAAAACGTTTATGAACTTCATGACTAGACTATACGATTAGTCCTTTCCTCACTATCAACTTCTCATTTTTGTAAGTTTGATTTTTGAAGTGAAAACTTCTTTAGAATCGTTGTGATTTGAAACTCGATTAAACGAAAAAGCGACGCTAAAAAGAGACAAACATATATATGTATATAGGATTTAGCCTGTGAGAGTACTAGACAGTATAGTATACAGTGTTTCTTATAATCTCTATAATATAAGAAGTGTTATTGAAGTGAAAACTTCTTTAGAATCGTTGTGATTTGAAACTCGATTAAACGAAAAAGCGACGCTAAAAAAGAGACAAACATATATATGTATATAGGATTTAGCCTGTGAGAGTACTAGACAGTATAGTATACAGTGTTTCTTATAATCTCTATAATATAAGAAATGTTATTGAAGTGAAAACTTCTTTAGAATCGTTGTGATTTGAAACTCGATTAAACGAAAAAGCAACTCTAAAAAGAGGCAAACATATACATCTATAGGATTTAGCCTGTGGGAGAATCAGATGGAATACAGTATATTTTACCGCTTGTGAACTGCACACACACGTTTTTTTATTTATTTATAAAACTGCTTTAACGATTTGATGCAAACTTCATAATAAAATTAAACGGCGAAATAAAATGGGTTAAAGACATCATTTCTTCTAGATAGATAGTATAATGGAAAAAAAAATTTACTACATACAAATAAAAAAATACAGTAGAATAACTGAACTCTATGGTCTTCAAAACTTTGAGATATGTTTAAAATTTGAGTATTCCCTGACCCGTTACTTCAACCTCTAAAGGGAAAGTGAAAAAGATATTGAATAACATTTGTGTTGTAAATATAATTTTTTGCGAGATTGTTTATTCATTAGTTTTTGTTTACATTATTTTAGATGAGTGGTGGTATGAGAAGGTGTCGAGCTCTGTACGACTGTTCAGCGGACAATGAGGACGAGCTTTCTTTCCGAGAGGGAGAGGTCATTGTCGTCATTAACGATCGCACCGAAGACGACAATTGGATGGAGGGGCAAGTGGAGGGGACTTCTCGACGCGGCATGTTCCCAGTCTCTTTCGTTCACATGCTACCCGACTAAAAGTTAACAGAGATAGTTGGTTTTATTAGCGCACAATTGTGGTCAGTAAAGTGTTCATAGAACTTTTAATGACTGGCCTACTTCGCTGGCTGTCATTTTGTAGTAAAGCGCATTCGAAGTTTGCAACAATTAAGAATTTCAGGTGGAGGTTAGTCTCCGCTGTAGATTTCGGTAGTCGTTAAAATTAATAATATAGAGTATTGACAATTTCCAAAGAAGCACTACATAATGTCTGTTTCGTATTGAATATATTATATATATACATATTAGTTGGATGTATTGATTTTTAACTCCGAATAGGGTAGTTGACACTCATGTCAATTGAAATACTTTATACGAGCTTCCAAAACGGTCTTTTTCTATAGAAATTGTGTGGAAATATTAGTAAATGAAATCAGAGTTTCTCGTTATCAAGTAAACTTTTTATTTGTATATTTTTAATAATATGAATCTAATATAATAATTTAAAAGAGAAAATCGTAGTTTTGAGACAGTACTAAAAGTAACCTATTAAAATATTATGATATAACTTATTATTGATAAAGTCAACTACTCAATTGATGAAAATTATTCGCCGACAAAAATAATTAAAAAAAATTTTATACACCTAATAATAAAAAGCTAGGAATTGCATATTACTTTCATAACACAACTTTGGCCTAAAACTTTTAAGCGGAATTATTTTTAAAAGTTATGAGCTTATTTACTCTAGGGTACGCGCTACTCACTATCTAAATGTTTACAAACTATATGTATGTAATAGACCGCAACGGTTTTATAATATTGTTATAGTGGGTAAACTACCCACAAAGTTGCTCTAGGGTGCACATATATATGTATATAGTGCGTCTGAATGCAATCGATATTCGCAGCTGCCATAGGAAACATAGGCAATAATTTTAATTACTTCAAGCGTCAATAGCACAAGCAATCAATGATTGTCTTGTACAAGGATTTTAATACTCATAAATTTTAACCATGCCGTTTTTGATGTATAATTTTGATGTTGACAATTTTAGAAGTATCTTATCGAGCGTGTATGTTGAAATGATTCTGAAGTCATGAAACGATTGTTTCGATTACGGCTTAGCGTCACTATGAATTTAATAACACCAATATTGTAAGTTCCGCCAGTAGCTAGTCCGTCCCTTTGCGGGTGAATTTTTTGATTTCATATATCTACTTTTGATATTACGTATTTTATTCTTATGTGTACACGCCAATAATTTCAATAAAAATAATAATCATACCTATGACGATGTACCTCAGTGCATAATACGGCTCAATGGAATAAAAAACAAAATTACTTGTCTGTTACAAGCAGTTAATTGGAGAATGAAATTTATTGAATGAATTTCTTTCATTTATTCAATGTGATTGTTACATAGCGTCGTACGTGTATGTACAGCTCATTTAATTTGCCAAAAATATATGTGATCTGTAGTGGAAAATATATTATATATCAGTGACAAACTATCGGACCAGTGACCGTTCGTTGTCTCGTTATTCTCTTAGTTGATATTGAGGTGTCTTAGATTGTTGGAACATTGGAGATTTTGTCTTTAAGACTGGCGTTAGACCGCGCATTAGCAGAACGATTTGGAGACTTTCATGTAATGACTGACTCAGTTAAGACAATTGATTGGCAAAGACCTAACTAATGGTTGCAAAAGTAGAGATTTAATTATCTCTTGTTTTTGTAACATGGACCAAAGATATATCTATTGTAATTTTATCCAAAATATAAGTGAGTATCGGTGTAAAGTGATGTATATTTATTTATTTATAGCAGTCTTAACTGTGTATGTGTGGGTCTAATGTCATTCTCGAAGTATCGACGTTTGATTCTTGTTATAAATGTTAAATTTTATCACTTTCCACATTTTAAAATAGTAGAAAAAACATTAATGTATGCAATAATCTTAGCGATAGAAATAGCGTTGAAGTTATTAGAGTCAAAGTTTCGTTTCCTCTTATAATGTTATAGTATTGTATCAGTTACAAATAGTTGAATTATAATGTGATTCATATAACAACGTATTTAACATTCCCTAAAGGTATTTGATTTTTGTGTATATTAAGATTCCTTTGTATTCATAGATAGTAATCGTAAGTGATGCCTACATAGTATATGTTATAAAGTTACCTATATAAACACGCGCGCGTTGCCATAATTTAGTATTAACTGAGAGTGAATGAATTTAAAAATTATTTAGTTTTCAAGATCAACTTTAGCTATTTAATATTCTCTTTTCATAAAAAAACACAGTTCTATATGATTTAATTAATTTTACGTTACGAAAATACGTTACTTTGTAAATAAATGAATTTATCTACGTTTGTAAAATATTTTAACTTATTTCGTATAGTGAAATTTGCGCAATAATGTGCAGTGTATACTTTCTGTTATATAATTCAAGTATTAAAATATTAATTGTATTTATTTTGTTATTTAAAGTATGAGAAGAATCAAATTGTGATGATAATATTTTAATGCCATTTTAGCATGTCAGTATGTCATTTATTAAGAAGTTATTTAACCAAATGATGCTAATAGAGAGTAAGATGTTTTACTGTATTGTAGTATATTTGAAAGATGGAGTTGTAGTTGAAATAATTTTTTCCATTATGTATTATCTGAATGAAAATCTGTATGAATTTATTAATACATCACCTCGATGTCTATATTTGGTTTAATTTTCTACACATCTTAACCATCGTTTTTAAGATTAGCTTAGATATTTTCGTCTAAAAACCTTATGAACATATTTTATGGTTACCATTTATTGAGATAGTTTTTCTGAACATATGTATGATGCCATAATATATAACCAATATGACCATTAGCCTTCATTAACTATTACAATGACCATGTTAAGAAATGAGATGAGATGATTTCTTACACAGCCACAACAAGACATTTTTTCTTCAAAGTAACAAATAAGCGTTTGGGGTCGTGGAAGTTCGGAATCCGATTTTCGAATGGAACGTATTTATTTGGCCTTCAAGTGTTTTGAGTTCAGATATTAGCTAGGTATGGTATATATTTATATATGGTATGATGCGGTGAGCGTTAACCATCTCTCAATCAGCAGTGGGACGTACATAGGCATATGTAACTTTACTTTACTTTATGATGCGGCTACAAGAATTGGATTGCGGGCTGTTTGTATGGTAGTGATACAATATCTTTTTAAGATTATTTCTGTTCGTATGGCGATGCGGCTACGCGTTCCGGACCAACCGGAATCAAAGAGTTCCGATTGGTCGGGGAGCTGCAGGCCGACTGTTCCTGATCGATTTAGCGATCACTGTACGGTTTCTATTTTTACGTTTAGTTTGCAGTTACTAGCCGAGTTACGTTTTAATTTTATAGATACGTGTAGATGCAAATATGGATGCAACTAATATTTCCTTCACATTTTTTCTTTTTTGTATAGTGTCAATGTATTAAACAGCTGTTACTTCTTCCACGTCTATCTTATATTCTGATATATGGATCAAGTGATTAATGGTGACACGTCAAGGTCAGAATAAGCAAACATGTGCAATTATTTAGTCCAAGTAATCCTGTTGTAAAAATATGTCTTCGGTAGGCATACGGTAGCATACTATCCGTGGATCTTTTATCAAATCTAATAACGCATATTATCACATTAGTAGGAGTGGCGACACGTGCTTGTTGCGGACCCGCTTGGGGTTTTAGGGTGACATTCATTATCATCATCATTACATCCCTTCACAAGTCCACTGTTGAATGTAGGCCTCCCCCACGGAATGTCACAAAGGCACAGTCCTGAGCCACCTGCATCCATCGTACGAGGTACGAGGCTGCCGCTACTCGAGAATAATTTTTTCCATCGGTTGTGGGTTCTTCGAGTTATATGGCCGGCCCATTGCCACTTACTAATCCGTTGGGCTATGTCAGTCACTGTGGTTCTAATGCGGATATCCTCATTCCTAAGTTTATCACGCAGAAAAACCTCGATCATAGCCCTTTCCATAGTTCGCTGAGGGACCTTGAGCGTCCTCATACAGCCAGCAGTAAAGGACCACGTCTTAGTTCCATAAGTCATCACTGGCAACACGCAATGGTTGTACAGTCTCGTTTTTAGAAGTAAGGAGTACGGACTGTGTATTAAAAAGTGCCCATAGGAAACCGTTAAATAAGGGTCGCGCCGCTATAGCTACGGGGTAAATTTTAAAGAACGCGCCGAAAATGTTAGTGGGATAGACGACTTTTTCGAGGTTATATTTCATCATTCAACAAGTCCACTGCTGAACATTGGCCTCCCCCAAGTAATGCCACAAAGCACGGTCCTGAGCCACCTGCATCCATCGACTTCCTGCATATCTTACCAGGTCGTCACTCCATCTAAGTGGGGGGTCGCCTTACACTACGCCTACCGGTACGAGGCTGCCACTCGAGAACCTTTCTTCCCCATCGGTTTTCGGTTCTTCGAGCTATATGGCCGGCCCATTGCCACTTCAGCTTACTAATCCGTTGGGCTATGTCGGTCACTCTGGTTTTACAGCGGATATCCTCATTTCTGAGTCTATCACGCAGAGAAACTCCGAGCATAGCCCTCTCCATAGCTCGCTGAGCGACCTTGAGCGTCCTCATACGGCCAGCAATGAAGGACCACGTCTCAACAACTTCGAGCATAGTGCTCCCAATAACTACCGGCATAGGTGTGACATGGACATTAAACATAATCTTTGTTTTGTCCATGTTCTTCTTAAGACCTATCCGTTGGGAGGCACTATTGAGGTCATTGAGCATAGTGCTTAAGTCCTCCAGCGATTCTGCCATAAGGACTATATCGTCGGCAAATCGAAGAGTGATGTACTCGCCATTGATGTTAATACCGTATCCTTTCCAGTCCAGTAGCTTGAAAACGTCTTCCAAGGCAGCGGTGAAGAGTTTCGGGGATACAACGTCACCCTGTCTTACACCTCTCTGCAGTTGGATAGGTTTCGAGCTCTGGTTCTGTACTCGG